CTAACATTTTCATATTATTAAATAAATCATTTCCTTAACTTCATTTATTACAATCTTTATTTCAATTTCTAGAAGATTTCTTTAGTGTAAGTTCTTGTTATAAATATAACAAATGTTGTCCAAAATACTCTAAAATTTTAATCGAATATTTTATGATTATTATTATTTGGTATTATATAACTATTAAATTTTTAAAATTATGTAATTATTAAAATGAAAATATGAAAATTAAAATTCTCTATAAATAAATAGCATAATTTTATAATAAAAATCTAAAAGTAATTATATTATAATTATTATAATAGTAGATAATTCTTTGACAAAATTTCAATTAATTTTAAATGAAAGTAATAAATTATTGCTTAAATAAAGAAATTGTTGAATTTTTAATTGTATTTCTTACATGACAGTTATTTAAAATAATAAAAAAATTATGAAATAATGAATATCCTAATATGATTAAATAATAATTGCATACAACATTTCAATTTACTAATTTATTTTTACTATAACGTAATCAATAGTAGCTGAATTAATACACTATAATCATATTTTTCTCATTTAATATACAAATAATATTGTATTTATTTAAGTATAATTTTTTTGAATAGTTAAAATTAATTTTAATTTTTAATTCGAATAATTTAAAAATATTTTATATTAAAAATATTGTCTGTTAAATAAGCTTCTAAATAAATTTTTTATAAGTAAATGATTAAAATATTAAGATACACAAAATTTATATATTTTATAAAATACTAATTAATATATTAATTAAAATAATTTAGTTAAATAAATATATAAAAAACATAACAATTTTTTTGTCCTTTATTGTAAATAAATTATAATGTTAAAAAAAATTAAAATTTAGTAGTACATGAAGTAAATTCTATTCATGTCATCAAAAAATCGCTGCTTAATAATGAGTTTGTATCCTAAAAATCATCTAAGTATAAATATTCCTGTGAATATATAAAAAAAATGTTATTCTGAAATGATGTAAATATTAGTATTTGTTTATAATCATATAAATAATAGGCCAATAATGTTTTATCTACATTGAAATTTCATGTTATAACTATTCACAGCAGATAATACTCACCTTTTTTATTATTTGAATTGCTTTTTTTCATTTTTTATTCTAAAAATATATTAATGCTATGTAACGTTGATTATTATTTATTTTCATATTTGAGTTAAGGTGTATTCTAGAAAAGACATTGTAAATGATAATGATACCTAAATTTCGACACTTTTGTGTGAGTACTTTCTTTATTAACAATATAATAATAATTTATCATCATAATAAATATTTAGTTTCGTATTAGTCGTAAAAATTTATTGGTAATATATTTTGCACTAGATATTCACATACATTTCTACTGTCGCTTGTGCGCAAACGTGATATTAAATATTGAGCGTTTTACTAAATAGCTGAAGGATTAATTACTATCCGAAAAATTTCTACATGTGCTAAAGTAATCTGGATAATTAGTTTGTAATTCATGGATTTTATAAATGCGTGCTTGTTCAATAATTGATCGATATATTTATTGTTTTTATTTCATTGTTATTACATTTAAACTATCATTCATTTAGTATAATTTTGAACTTATGGTAATTATTATTATAATTGTCAATAAAACTGGAAAAATATAATTAGATTATATATAAACTTGTAAATATTTATAATAAAGTAAACAATTAGAATATAAAATATTCATTTTTTTATAACCAAATTTATTATATTTGTTTAAATACGCAAATGCATAAAATTGTAATAACAATTTGATGAAATAAAATAAACAACAATAATATAATAAATCAGTTTCTATTTTGTTTTTATAAGAAAAGATTTTTAAATTTTATTTCTGCATTAAAAAATTTATTAACAATTACATTTATATTTTATATTTGAAATTCGTATTATTATTTAATTCTTGTATGAATAATCATTTGCGGTGCAGTTAATTATCATTCGAGTAAATTTTACAAATTGTATTCGAGCTCATAGAGACATTGAATACATATTATATTTAATATAAAAAAAATATATATATTTTATAATGAAATACTCACTAATATATTTTGTAATAAATACTTAACATACTAATAATAATATTATTATAATATAATTATAAAAGGTACAAATCAAGAACAGTATAACACAATCAAACAAAATGACATCATTTAAATAATTTTAAATATGTTAAATTATGGATGCTGACTTAAGTGCAACATTTATATGACGTTTGAATCTTTTAGAATTCAGAATTTGAAAAAATACTTACAATTAAGATAATTATATTATTGCTAATATTATACATTTATAAATCTTTTGATAAATTTTAATTGACATAATTTTTGTACTATAATATTTTCTTTTAGTTTACCAGCTTATTTACAATGTTCTTAATATTATATTTTTGTAATAATTTTAATTAAATACATTTGAATAGCTTCATTATATTATTTTGTTTTAAGTAATTATTTTGTTCGCAACAAAGATATTACATTTGTACATATTCAGCCATATAAATTCAGTTATTTGTAATAAATAAATTTTAAAAATGGTATTAATTTTATATATCTCTTCGACTAATTAATAACTATTAATAAAAGTGTTTAAGAGTATAAAATTATATTTAATAATAACATTCGTTTCGAATAATTTAAATTTCAGTTTCGGTACCATAAAATTATTATAGTTACTTTTGGAACTATTGTATAATATACATATATCTAATGTAGTTATTTATTTATTTATCGAGTTAAATAATTGAATACACAATAAATCATATTTTTGAATATTTTATATTTTATATACTAATATAAAAGATAATGTAGTTAAAAAATTAAAAGGTATATATGTAAGTGATCGTTGTGCTTTTCCAATTGACTAATAAAAATCCATTTTAACAACTTGCATACTGTAAGTTAGGATGTATGCAGAAAGATTGATCTTAATAGCTAAATTAAGGTCAATTTTTATTAAATAAAAAAGATACTTAGAATTCTTCGCAAATTCATTTAAATGTGTTTTTAACAAAAATATTTGACTATATAATTAAAAAATATTTCAATACTTTTCGTTTAAACAATTAATTTTTATAATAACGGAACAAAGTGTTTTCTTTATTATTCGGCCAATAAATTTTTCGTTTATATAAACTGTAACTAATATATGCATTAATTTAACTATTCAACGGTCTATTATTATTGTATATTAAAGAATGAAGTAAATTTTTGAATAATAAGTTTAATTATTTTTTTATTTATCTATCAAGGATTCTTAATCATCGGTAAAAAAGTACTTTTTAATTAAACAGAATTTCTAAATATAATATTATATCTAACAAAATATTAATAATTATAAATTAAGAAAATTGTAGATTATATTATAATCATTACTATTGCAATTAATATAAAACCTGCAAAATTATAATATTCATATTTAATAATATTAAATTTTGTTTATAATTTTATTATTATTATTTTATGAGATAAACATTTATGCAAAGAACAAATTTAATTCTTCATATATATATTTATTTAAACAATTAATTAAATTTTAATTTTTTAAACGAATATTAATAAGAATGATACCCACTTAATTATATCTATTTATTTCAAAATTTGATTTAATACTGATATAAATAATATATAATACTTTTTAAAGAAACGGTTATATATACAGAATTATCTAAATATTACAGCGCTTAGTTTCAGTCATCAATTTAATACATTGATCATATATATATGTATAAGAATTTTTGATTCATTAAATTTTTAATTATGTATTTTAATTAAATATTTATTTAATGAATTTTATTGTATACAACGGTAAATTATATTGTATGTAATTTTTAATATGATAAGCGAAATACTAACACGTTCAATTAATTGTTTAAATTATAGCATATAATAAATCTTTTGAAAGCCTCTTATCAGTTTTTATAAATATTTATAAATCAAAATGTTTTTAAATAATTTTGTAATATTTAAAAAAAATAATTTTCCAATTTAAAAATATATAATTTGATCAATGTAATTTAAATTGTTTTATATAACTATACTTTGCATAACTACTTCCTCTACTTGTTTCAAAGAGTAAACTTCTATTACACACAATTTATATAGCTCGAAATAGCTTCTCTACTTTATTATCACATGTATATTTGTCATAAGTATTTAACAGATTATATTGATACAAGCTTTATTTTCATTATCTTTAAGCTATATTTGATGCAATTATTAAATGACATTTAAAAAAAATTTCTTTTTTGTGTAGTTTTAATAAAGTTCATATTAGAAAATATTTTAATATAGTTTTAATTTAAAAAAAATATATATCAAAATTTTCTTGCAAATAAATTAAAAATGCCTGATTAAACAATTATATCTAATTAATAATATTGTATATATTAAGAATTTATATTTGTACGGATAACTTTTTATGCAAATTTTCATATATAATATGTCAGTTTTAAAAATCCACAAATTTTTTAGTACAATACATTAAAAGATGAAAAATAATTTTAATTTTAGTTCAATTGGCTTACTTAACTATATTTTTTATTAAACCTTATTTGAATTTATAATATTTGAATAAAAAGTGTTCACGAATCATAATAAATTGGTAATATTAGTATAAAATTATATTCATCTAATAATATACTTATACTATTTACTTTATTGTTTAATTGGATAATTGTTAGTTTTAAAATGATTACTTTTAAAATTAAAAAAAGGTTGTGATTGTTTTCTTTTTATGACTAATCAATACAAATTTTTTTACGTATTGAAAACATTATGTATAGAAATAAAATTAAATTTATCATGAATTTTGTATTATAAAATATTGAATTATATAATAATTTTGTAAATTCCATTTTTACAATATTTAAATTATTATTAATAAATACTTATGAAATAAATTCTTTTAATGTTTGTTTGTTTGTATTTTTAGAATTTACAGAGAATAAATACATTAAATAACGGGGTCATGGAAAATAAAAAAGAAAACTCAAGGTAAGATAAAATTAAAATGATCATATATAAAAAATAAATATTAATAAATTTATTGTAATATTATTATTTGAAGAAATAAAGAATATTTCTATTTACATATGTAATAAATTTGACTTGCTCAATAAATTTCATTTATTTTCATTCTTATAATATTTGTATATGAGGTTTCGTAATATTTTATGAAGTTGATAGATACTTTAATATACATTTTAATATCAAACAAAAAGTTGAATAAGTTGAATATGATAATACAAATTGTTTATTTGTGAACGATATATAATATAACTACATACTCTATTAATATAAATAAATTAAAACTATTATTCATATTTCAATTGTTAAATCTTATTTATAATTAACTATATCTAATATTACTTAAAATTTGAGATAATTAATTATATTACATAATTTCATACATTCAATACAATTTTAGAAACAATAGATCGGAGTCAGATTACGATCCACATATGCATCGGAATAGGCCACATCCTACGAAGTAAGTATAAGAAATTTTTTTTCACTATCTAATTTTGAATAACTGTTAATAACATTTTATACAAAATAATTATTATAGTTTTGAAATTACTATTAATAATTAATTCCTTAGTATAGTTAATGATGCATTGTAAATATTCTAAACTTATAAATATATGCACTCTTAATATTATTTCTTAATAATATTCTTAATTTATTATAAATAATTATACTAATATTCTAAATATATATTATTATAAATAGGTTATATGATTATTATATATAGTAATGATTCTAAGTTCTATTCTAGTACCTACGCTATTATCTATTTTTGTTTCAAGAAAATAATATGAAATTGTATTATTTCATATTCTTCTATTTTTAATTAATTTATATTGAAATTCTTATAAATTAAAATAAGTAATAGAGAGTAGTATTAATTATTTATTAAATCAAAAAATCAGTTTTTTAATTATATTCCTATTCATATATATCGAAGATTTCAGTAAAAAAGTTATAATAAAATAAACCGTTTACGTAGTTAACAAAATTAATTCCTTTAATTTAATAAATATTTTAATTTAATTTTAATATTAGTCTTTAATTGAAATTTAAATTTAAGATATTCAAAACATTATATTTTTGATATATTCAATTAAAAATAAATAAGCGATAATTTGGTTAAATTTTTCATCCAGATGAGAAGAAAAATGTTTGTATGCATTACAACGAATCAAAAAGCAATTGAATGCTTACTTTATTTGAATAATATTCTCTTGTTTATAAGATTGTACAGCGTTGTTATGAAATCGCATATATTATTATACTATTATCTTTGTCATTACGCAAAATTAGTTAAATTATGTTTAACTATTACATATTTTCCTATTCAATAATTTTTATAAAATTTAAGTTCACGAAATAATTGTAATACTAAATAAAAATATAAATACAGAATTGTATACAGTTCATGTTAAAATATTTGTATTTTATTTTGTATTGATATCAATACCAATTAAAATATAATTAAATTATAAATAATAAATATCATGGACTAAAATACCCTTATATTGCTATTATTGCATATATAAACGTATAAAATATATTTTCTAATATAAGTTTGAATTTTTTTTCTATTTCCTTATTATAATTATCAATCGGGAGTAAGTTAATAAAAAATAAATAAATTTTAATTTGAATATCGGTTATTTATTATATAAAATAAAATATTTTTTTATTGAAAAAATGTACAAAATAATTTTTTTATAATGTATCAATATTCGCTTAATTATTTATATAAATTTTTTTGTGATAATTTAATAAATAATTTAATTTAATAAAGAAAAAAAACAGATGTTTCATAAATGAAAAAAAATTTTAATATTTTTTTATGAGTTATAAAATAACAAAGTGAATATATTTTTATTAATATGCAAAAAAAAAATTCTTTTGATTACTTATCAATATTTATAGTATTAGAAGTTTCTTTTACAATCAGTTTTTCTTTAGCAATACAGAGACACTTATTCATTTATTGAAAGGCAGTCTGGGTACTGGAATTCTAGCGATGCCAAATGCCTTTGGCAATAGCGGATTGATCATGGGAACAATTTCTACAATTGTGATTGGTATACTTTGTACGTATTGTCTTCATGTCCTTGTTAAGGCCCAGTACAAGCTGTGTAAACGTCTGCAAATTCCTATTCTCAGCTATCCACAGAGTATGAAAATGGGCCTTGAGCAAGGCCCACCGTGTCTTAGACGATTTGCTAATTGTTCAGCGTAAGTATTTTATTATTTAGTTTATAATTAAAGTGTAATTATATTTTGTAAAAATGATGTAAATAGTTATATAAAAATTTCATTTTTTTCATATAAATTTTAAAAATTAAAAACTTTTTAGATTGACGATACTTCATTCTATAAAATTTAAATAATGTAAAATTTTTATTATATAAAGTAAATTTAGATTTTTGTATATTAAATTTTATATTATAATGAAATATAGTTCTATTATTCTGTATTATTCTGCAAACTATATAATCGAAAGCCTGTCGATGTGTATTTATTATTATTTAACTATTGCTCACTATTATGGTTTTAAAAATAAAAGTATGTAAAGTTAAAAGTATATATACTTTCAATTTTCTGAATAAATTAGAAATCAAATATATCAATGAATAAAATATACTGATACAATATAAAATTAACATTTTATATTAACAAAAAAAATATATATATATATATATATTAAAATAAGTGTATGTAATATATTAATATTTAAAGTCTGCACATTTACAATAATATACTTTTCACAGAATTATTGTGGATGGATTTTTGATAACGTATCAATTAGGAATTTGCTGTGTATATATCGTTTTCATTTCATCAAATTTAAAGCAGGTATTTATTTTAAAAATTAATTTTATTAATGATTTATTATATTTATTATTTAGTTATTTTATTCAATCTCAAATATGTATTCTCAAAATAAAAGATGTTACCTATAATATCGTTTTCATCACGAAAGTATCTGTCTAACTGGGAGTGATATCTGTTTGTACAACTTTTGTACTTATTAGACCATTTGAAAGGTAGGGAAGATACTTTAGTAACAATAGTTATTCGATTTCGATATTTCAAATAATTATTTAAAGAAAATCGTGAAAAGATTTAATTCGTGTTTTACGTTTAAATTTTACGTTACATTGCACTATTTTATTTTTTCACACAGAAATTATTTATTAACCTACTTTTCAAAATTAAAAATATTAAAAATTTGCATGATAACAGTAAATCTTCAATATTTGAAATAAGTTTTTAATTTTCTCAAATAAAGAAATATTATTATTCAGTTAATACTATCGAATTTTTCCGAATGAAATTTAAGTAATTTGACATTAGACTCTGCAAATATTTTAAAATGAAAAATAACTATAAGAAATACAATACCATAAATATAAATATCATTCAAAATCTAATTAATGAGATTTGAGAATATTTAAAAAATTTTTTTAAATATGTAGTTAAATTAATTTGTAAATCTATATTATTTCATTGTTAAATTTTTAATTCAACCAACACTAAGTTATTAATTGAAACAAATAGAGCCAAATTCTTTATATTGTATTTTACACTATATACTTAGTAAACAATTTTTGAAAATAAGAGATAAAACTAAATAATAATTTTAAATTAAATTACATTTACAAATAAAAATGAATTAGTAAAAATTTGCAGTAAATCATTTTGATTATATAATATGATATTTAAAGCATATATAGTTATTTTATGTTATAGCTAATAATTTATGGATTGAATAAATAAAACTATTAACATTAAAAAAATACTTAATAAATTTCAATACACGTATTTCATAAAATTGTAAATTTTTCAGGTAGCAGACCAATATGCAGAACCTCTAGATATTAAACTTCACATGTTAATCCTCCTAATACCACTAATTTTAATCAACTATATTCGTAATTTAAAACTGCTGACGCCATTTTCGAGCATTGCAAACGTGATAACATTCTTGGGATTAGGAATGATTTTAGCTTATATTTTTGAAGATTTACCTTCGCTCAACGAAAGAGAAATGTTTGGTTCAGCACGAAATTTTCCTCTTTACTTCGGAACCACATTATTTGCATTGGAAGCTGTTGGTGTTGTAAGTAATATGTATTTTTAATGAAAGTTATAAATGACTGATATAAATAAGCAGTGCAAATCTAGTCAGTTAATTGCATTAAAATCGAGTTAAAAAGGTGAGCTTAAAATTTTAAACAACAGAGAGCATTATTATTGATTTATTTCAGCATGATTGTTTTCAATTATAAGTACCCCAAATTGTACTCGGAGTTGGAGAAGACGATATATGCTAGTCAAATGAAGATCAATACAAAAATTTTCATCACACAGTGAATCCTTGATTCAAGTTCACACAAACAAAACTCTTACTTGGATAATCCTATTAAAAACATTTACAGAAACTGATCAATTACTCACAATCGCTTTAAGAAATACTTTACCATCAATACTTGGGCCACTATCAATATTCACACCAACACTATTGTTGATTCTTACTTAATTCTAATAATAATATTCTACTTAGATTCCTATTGATAGTATGACAAATATTATCATTATCATTAATCCTAACACTAAGAACTAATAAAACTGGCACTCTCCTTCACTCTTACTCTTTCAATTTGATTCTCAACCCTTCTCAATTTCATTTTCTCATTTTTCCTCTGATTCACTCACTTTCATTTGGATTATTTTTTATACTTGCTGAGATTCTTATATTTCATCTCACTTTTATTAATTCTTATATTGATTTACTCTTCAATCACAAACATTTTCTCATTTTTATGTATATTTTTTATTCTTCTTGTTTCTATGTACTCAGGCATTCACAAACTCTTATGGAACATAGACAGAAAAGATTGAAATTGGCACAGAAATTTACACAGAAATTTAGACAGAAAAATTTGAAATTTAAATTTTTTATTTAAAATAACTAATTAAAATAAGAAAATTAATTAAATATTCATAATTCTTTACACATATTTATAAAGATAATATTTTTATAAATTAAATAAACTACATCGTTTTTATTTATTTTAATCTTGTTATAAAGTAAGGTTATTATTTTTTAAACAGATTATAGCATTAGAAAATAACATGAAAACGCCACAAAACTTTGGAGGTACTTGCGGCGTTCTTAACGTGGGGATGATTGTTATAGTTACGATGTACATCATTGTCGGTTTCTTTGGATACATAAAATATGGAGCTGACGCTGCCGGGAGTATCACCCTAAATTTACCTACAGATGCTGTGTGAGATTCTTAAATCGAATAATTCACCAACTATTATATATGGTAGAACGAAAAGACATTTTTTAAGCTGAAAAATTTATTAATTCATTATATCTGTTATAAATAATTTATTTAAACATAGATCAGTTCTATAATATTTTTACAAAAAAAAATAACAAAAATTAAATACGAAAAATATAAGTATTATTTTTACAATGATTAATGGTATGAATAGAGTATTACACATAATATTAAAACTATGATATTTTAGATTAATAGATTGGAATTTACATTTATGAATATAAATTCTCGTATGATATTTTATATTTTCTATACAGAAATGACAAATAATACACATAAAATCTGCTAACCAAATAATTGTTGTTATTAATTTAAAATAATTCTTTCAATAGGATGGCTCAAACTATCAAAGTATTGTTTGCTATCGCAATTTTAATCTCGTACGCGCTGCAAGCCTATGTACCTGTTGAAATTCTTTGGTCTACTTACTTGGATTATCGTATCGAAAAGAACAAACTTTTCTGGGAATATATTTGTAGAACTATTCTCACTCTTATAACTTGTAAGTAAGATTTGATGAATTAAAATAATAAAGAGTAAATGAAAGTTAATTATAATATAACAGATATGATAAAGTATTTAAACAATTAAGATATAAAATATGGCATAAAAATGAAATAAAAATATCTAATCGCTGATTATTCAATTAATTAAGAGTTAATAATGTAATGAAATAATATAAATCATATTTGAGCCATAGTCATTAAAGACCATACAAAAATTATATATAATTTTTGTAACACCATTTATTCAATTTTCATAAAACCTAATAAGTTTTTGTTTGATTGTAGTTCATGTTTAATACGTAATGTGATAAATTCAATAACGTATTTAATGATTACTTTTATGAAATAATGATAATAATTTAAGTATAACAATAAAAAATATATTTCTATTTATTTTATATTATAATATATGTTTTAAATATGTATATAAAAAAATAAAAACTAATGCAGCTTTTTATTTTCAAATTCATGTATAGAACTAGAAGTTTTTTTTACGTTAAACCAAGTTTTTATAGAACATACATTTCTAGTAATCGACTGTAAAATTGGAATTAATTTATTAAAGAAACATTACGTAATCATAGAAAAATCAAATAAAAATGTAAATAAATTAATAGATCATAATAAAATGATATAAGAGTAATCTCATTACACTACATCATAAAATAATTTTTAAAACAAATTTTGAAATACATGTTTAATTATTTTTATTTATTATATTTACGAAATGCTAACATATTTTTTATTTTTTTTTTAATTTTTATTTCGAAAACTCTTAAATTAAAATTAATAAATAGATAACTTTTAAATAATTATATTGCTTTATATAATTTAATATTTTTAGATGCGAATATATTTTTATTATTAATAGTGTTTCTAGAAATTTTATTGTTGTTTTATAAATGAGTAATATTTTTATTCAAATATATACTTCATATTCTTTTAATATTCTGCTTTTAATTTACAGTTGTTCTGGCGATAGCCGTGCCTCGACTTGGTTTATTCATTTCTCTCTTCGGTGCTTTCTGTTTGTCTGCTTTGGGAATTGCATTTCCTGGAATTATTGACATCTGTGTCCTTTGGCCCGATAATTTCGGCCCCTACAAATATATACTAATCAAAGATATTGGACTTATTATATTTGGCTGCACTGGTCTTATCGTCGGCACTTATGTCAGTTTGTTTGATATTATTGAATCATTCAAGTGAAAGTAAATTTGACAATTTTAGAAATTCGCCTCAAAACTTAGCTCTCATTTGCAACAACGATAAAAAAATTAAATATAGAACAATTATTTCTTATGTAGATAATTTAGGACGAAATAAATGTTGCTGTTTTTTAAGATTTATTCGAAGTAAAAAGAGCCTACGGTTGCATATAATTTATCGCAGGTATAATTTTTACAAAAACGTTTTCAGTATTATATTATTTATTGTTGCAAATCACCTACATCTAATATTGCAATTTTAAATACAAATCTACATAAAAAAAGTATATAGCAAATATGATTTATTCAAATGTACTTTATAGGCTTATTAGAATTTTGAATTATTTTATATATAAAAATGATAATAATAAGATATACTGTTCTGATTTTTTAAAATTACGACAAGTAGGCTTTAACTTTTATAAAAAGAATACAAAAAAGTACATTACTATGATCAAAAGATTTCTGATTTATATACATATTCTTATATTTTTTATTTATTTACAAGAGACACAGAAATTAGCAAAATTTATGTAAAAATGTAGTAATTAGTAAACAGCAACTTATAAGTTAGAAATCGTAATACATAAATCAATTTTTTATATTATATACATTCTTAAATCTATATAAATACAAAATGTACATTAAAATTGTTTTAATATTTCTATGCATATTAAAAAATAATGTACTAGTTAATCTTTATTGCGAATATAATTTAATTACTTATTCATTAGATCATCAGTGTTTTTTTATTGAAATATGATGTTAAATATTTAATTTTATAATGTCAACAAAAAATAATAATTTTACTCAAAAAACTTTCTGCATATAATATACTTTAATTGGATATGTACAAAAGAGAAATTTGTAAAATTTTATTTTTTAGACCTATTTTATAAAAATTTATCATTTAAAATATTTCATTTTAATTCATTTCTAATTTTATGGTATTTAAAAATATTAATATGAATGCAAAAATATTTTACAACTACATATAAGTTTAATTTACTATGATAACTAGATAATTTTTCTATGATTTGTTAAATTTCGAAGGATATATTTTTATTTATTTAATTTTAATATACTTAATTATACAAATAGTATAATCATTTTATTTAATGTTTAAAATAACATTATTTGTTGTATATTTTCACTTACAATTTTCTAAAATGGACTAAAAAGTAAAATTAATTATAACGCATTGAGAATGATAATAAAATTTCAATACTAAAAAATAATTATTTATTTATGTTTATCAAAACCTTTGTATTCATAAAAATTGAGAATATTATAGAATTATTTCTATATCAATAAATTTAGTAAGATTGTAACATGTTTTGTAAATAAAATTACTTTGTCACACTTTTTAAATTTATATGTATTTTAAGTATATGTATAATTATTTATATGATTTATATTCACATACAGTGATATAATGTAACGTTTATATTATTAAATAAGTTAAATTATAGTTCATGAGATAATGTGAATTTGTAAAACTGTTGATATTATGACTATAATAACATTATTTGTAGTGTTAATGATCTCTACTTTGTTTGCTAGTATTTTTATTATAATTGCTATTATTATCTACAAGTTTTCATTATTTATTAAATGAATCAGAAATTTTTTATTTTATTTTTTGCTTTTAACGGTTTTTTAATAAAATTTTAATGAGATTATTTCTATTACCTATACATAAAAATATATTATATATAAAAATTTTTTTGCTGTATTTGCTCAAATAAGATGTTTCCAATTATTGAATTCGGACAATTGGTATAGAAATCATTATATTTACATCAATTATAATTGCTTAAATATTTAATAATATAATATAAAAGATATTATTAATTTCATAAAAATAATTTATATAAAATATCATTTATAAATATTCAATATAACTTTAATATTGAATTAATCTTATAATATTAAATTATTATTATTAAAAAAAATTTAGAATTCTAGAAATTTTACTTATGTTCAAGATGTATATTAACAAGAATTACTTAAAAGAATTTCCGAGAATTTCATAATACTATTGAGATTGATATATTCAACACTTCAAGAGAAATAAAGTGTCACTTTTAAATTCTGAAAAGGTTCGTTTAATTTCTTAATCAATGAAATGTTTTGATTAGTGATTACTTATTAGTTATAAATTAATTCTCGGTTAATAAACATTTAAATATGTCTATTTCTACTGATAGCATAGCTAAAAAAATACAGGTATTATTTACTATATTTTAAAAACTACTTCAAACAATGAAAATAATTGAATGTTTAGATATATGTTAGATGTATGTTAGATATATGTTGGATATATTCTATAGGAAAGATTAAAAGAAGTACATGAATTGATGCATGAGGTTGAGAATGCACGGGAGCAGTCTGAGTCTACTTTAAAACAAATAGAAAACTATAAAAGTGAAATTGAAGGGAAACAAAAGTCAAATACAATTGAACAACGAAAAATAAAGTTAAGTATAGCAATTAATGATGCTAAAAAAGAGGAAGAATTGTTGAGAAATTCATTAGAAAAAATCGACGAAATCAGATCTATTAGAAGTGAACGAAGACAACAGGTAAATCAATATTATTATGTTGAAATATATAAGATATTAAACATTCTTCATAAATGAAAAAGTATTTATTAAATTAAACGACTTCAAATTATATATGTGAACAATGAAGTTTGTATAATGAATAGATTATTTGTGAATTTTTATAAGAAAATAAAAATTTAGTTATAATAAATAAATAATAGATTAGATCTCACGTACTCGAAAGCGGCTAGCTTATTTCTTTCAGTTTGAGATTCATTTTCTGCAATACGTGATTTCGTTACTAGCTATCTATATATATATATATATATATTTATATTATATTATTATATATGTATATATATATATATATATATATATATATATCAGATATTCAGAGCTATAGTCATACGCTACAATCCCTTTGTTATATATTATTGTCAATGATTAACGCTCTTATTCACAGCGCATATTTCGCCAGTTATAATATTATTACTTTCTATAAATAATATAAGCTTTCAGTAAAACACATTTTCTAGAATAAAAACTTTGATCCGAGAAGAATCGTGTTTTATAAAGTGAATAAAATCAAATGGATTGTCGAAATGAGATCTGACTGTTATATTATAAAAGAAAAGAAAATGAAACAAAATCAAATTTCTCTATCATTCTGTATTCAATATGATATGAAATCTTTTTATTTAAGATAAAAATCAAGAAAAGAATTTTTTACAGTTTAGATAGTTGGATAATCGGAAGTGTATCAATAAGTGTATGCATCTTTTTTTATATAATTGTAATTAATGTGCACAATTTTGTTGTTGTTAACTCAGTGATAAAGCTATACGACTTGATATTTCTATTCACCAATTTTTAAATAAAATTAAACTTTAGTAAAAAGTGAGAGACTACTGAAATTAATAATTACTCTCAAATTATATTAATTTGGATGATCATACATTATGATAAATAAAGACTCATATTCATATAAATGTTTCAATTACAGTATTTATATATACCAATACAATGTATTTTTTTTCTATCTTATCAATGCGTTTCAATATCTTATACTTAATATTTTTTGTTTGACATTACTTTAATTAATCTTTAATATATATAATGACTTATAGCAAATTAATTTCTTACTAAATTATAACATCATTTCATCTTGTTATTAGTGAGTGTAATTATATGTATTTAGTAACAATTTTGAGAATTTTCTAATGATAATTAAATTTATATTTTTCTTAAACAGCATTGAAAAATATTCAAACTTAAGTTTCTATATCTTCTTATAAAATATAAAATACATAACAGAATAACTTTTGGGCAGTTTCTAATATTTTCGTTTGTCGAATTCGAATTGTTCTTCGATATTCTATTTTAATAAATGTACAAAATCAATTAAACTTGTGCAATAATATTAATATTCATTATAATTTATATATTTTTGTGTTTTGAATAATCTCACAAATTAAGTGAAAAAGATTGATATCTTAAGTTCTCTAAATGCATTTGTCAAGTATAGCTAATAAATTGCATATTTACTTATTAGTATTTATGTAATATTTATATATTATTACCCTGTTGTAAATGTAAACAATATTAATAATTACTTTCTTATAGGCACGAAGTGCTGGTAACAAAGAACCTATAAGACGAGGAGCGCTTATGAAAATGTTATTGGAAGTGGCACATACGATGCCACTATATATTGGGCAAACAATAGATGCCAGTCCACCACCACTGTGTGGCTGTATTCCGGCAGAATCATGTTATATTGCTAAAGTATAGTTTTTTAATATTATCTAAATATTTATTTATTATTTAAAACGTAATTTATATTTTTTAAATTATAATAGAGTGTCATACGGAAATGAACAAAAATATTAGATTATTTTAAGATATTGAAATTTTCTGCAACTATCTTTCTGTGATAAAATTTTGATTTAGATAACAATAAATATTTAATTCAATGATTATTTATTTAATTATTTTATTGCAGTAATTTTATGTTTAAAAGTAATATATGAAATGTTTTATATTCTTGTTATATATTTGAATACTTAGTTACGTATCGGTACATAAACTTATGTATGTTTAGTTGCACCCATATTTCATATGGTAACTGAATATATGTAGATCGTAAAAGCATTCAGCAATATCGTAAATGTATAGAGCATAAATCTGCATGACATTTTCATTTTTCTTTTTTATGTCTGTCCTCTTTTCCTTTTTTTTTCTTCACCCGCTGTTATTTTATTTCATAAATGCTTATTTGTAATCATACATTCATACTCATATTACTAATGTGTATCTTATATGCCATATTAAACTTACCAACTCTAGGCTTTTATTAAATATGATTAAATGAAGATGAATTTAAATGAAATTGTATACAAAATAGAAAGAAAAATTGTCTTTCTTGGAATATTTTTTTTATCGATTTTCTGTGTGAGTAGTGGATTGAGTGTGCTATCTTCGTTAGGGAGTTGATTTTATTTATTTCGTCCTGAAAGTCACCGATTTCGCATATAAGTTTATCTCAAGAAAGATTTAATCTATAATATAGGTAAATAGGCCTTTTATAACATATGACTGCAGCAATTCAGTTTTAATTTTATATTAAGTAAAAACAAATGCCTAATAAATTACTTGAGATATAGATAAAAAGATAACAAAACAATTAATCAATACGTTAAAATGCAAAGATTAAATTAAAAATAATACTAAATAATCTATTCGACAGTGATTTTTATTAAAATATGAAATTTATAAATATTCATGTAAATTTGTTAAGATACAGTATGTTTTCTCTTGCATAAATGCTATCTTATTTTTAATTGCATTTGGCGATTTTTTTGCAATTCTGTATTAGAAATCCTGCTAGAAATATATTTTTCAGTCATGACAAATTACGGTTTCTATTCTTCTAGTTACGGATTTTCTTACTTTTCTTTAAGAACAGAAAATCCTATCTGTTTTATAAGGGTTTTTTTTTGTATAATTTTCATTTTTGTCCGTTTATACATTTCTGATTACTGTTTTTGTAAATTGGTTTTATTCATATATCCGTATAATATTTTACCTTCATAGTGTTTTGTGTTTTTTGTATGCATTTGCAGATTGTATTGTAAAAAATGTTGTATTTAAAGTATAATTTTTACACATTATATTGTATTTATATTATTGCTTCATTATATATATATTTTTTGTTTTGTTTTTATATTACAACGATATAAATAAACATTAAAATAATTTTTATTTATTTTATACTTTTTAGTATTTAATAAAATTTCCTTACTATATTTTAAAATATTATTATTCACATCATATTGCATTTAAATGATACAACAAATTTTTCCTACATGAATAACATAATTTTTTGCATTATGTTGCATAAGATACTGTTGTAAAATATGCACAATCATATCATTTTAATATTAAAAAATACTGTGCATATACTTCTTAAAGAATATTTTCACGTGACTTTATAGTATATAAATATATGTTGTGATAATTATTTCTAATATTTCTAATACTATATTTATATCTAATATACTAACTGTCATAAACATGGCTGCTTTCACATACGTATTTAGGTTTATTAGATTATTAAATTATTGATTATAATGTATTATCAGCTATAATTATTTATTAAATATTCATAAAAATTTAAAAAAAAGCAGTTGATGTTAAAACAACCATAAATTATATAATAAGAGTTTACCTCATCATTAATCTTTACTTTATAGTGTTCTTTATATTTAGCCTGGCAATATAGTAGCTGCATTTGTAAAAGGCGCAGACGAAGAAGAAAATTGGATACTTGCTGAAATAATAAGTTTCAATCATTTGACAAATAAGTACGAAATAGATGATATTGATGAAGAAGTAAATGAAAGACATATTATATCTAGACGTCGTGTCATGCCTTTACCGATTATGAGAGCAAATCCTGAAACAGATCCACAAGCTATATTTACAAATGGTACTATAGGTAAATAAATCATTAGTTATTTAATTTATTTTGTGACTTATAATGCCTATAGAATTATAATAGTAATTAAAAAATTAATTCTGTAGTGATGGCTTTATATCCTCAGACGACATGTTTTTATAAAGCGATAATTACAGCTCAACCAAAAACAGCCCATGAAGATTATGAAGTTATTTTTGAGGATGCAACTTATACTAACGGATATTCACCACCGTTAAAAGTACCTCAACGTTATGTAATTTCTATTAAAGAAAGCAAAAAAAGAATTAAAGTTAATCGTACCTAAATTTTCTAATTATTATGAATACATAATTAGAATAATTTCACTTTAATTTGTTTTAATACTTTAAATACTTTTTGTTATTTAAAATGAAAATTATGATCCATGAAAATCATTAAATATCACTTTCTTATGTTAATGAATATTTTGTAAAATAAAATTTCGTGAATCTTTATCAAACATTTATCAATGCGTTTCAAATATTTTCATTATTATCTAAAAATAAACAGTAACTTAAAAATTAGTATTAGCGCAGCACAGTTTACAATTTATATAATGATGATTTAAATAAAAAATTTAGAATTCGTTTTTCGTATCATATTATATTTAGTGTCATTTTATATATATTTAATATCATATTAATGCTGGTTTAAAAATAAATTCATCATTTTAAATACGAAATTATAACTTTGGTATAAAATACATAAGTGTAATAAAATAAAATTTTATACACTTACTGCTAAAGTTTGTTAAGAAAAGATTTATTATTATAATTAAATATCTTACAAATAATTATTACCCGTCAATTTTAAGCAAGAATAATGATTTAACAATACATTTTATAAATTCCAATACATATATTCCCGTATGTTCTAATTCATTTATCTCCATAAAATTGAAAAGCATTATCAAGTGCCATAATTGGTAAAGTGCAGAAACTTAAAGGAACAATAATAACAATATTGTTGATTTAGATTTTTTATTATAATAATTGATATTCAAATAGTAATTTATCATTGAAATGAACGTTATTATACATTAATATAAGTATAATAAATGCATTACATTGATAACTAATAGTTAGTGTTCAGGTTTATCAATAAAATAATACAATCTTTTAAAAAATAATAACACGATAAAAATATCATAATAATAAGCATAAAAACTTATTAAGACTTTTATATTATAAGAAAATTCTGCAAATATATATAAATACAATACAAATTTAATTAGAAATTTTATAAATTTAATAAATTCATTATTTAATAATTTAATAACATTTTAATATTTTATAAATAAGCATTGAACTATTTTATAACAAGGAATATAATTTGTATAAAATGATAAAGTAAAATATATATTCGCTTAATGCCGCTAAGAAAAATTTGATAGTACTATTATGCAAATGTGAGTCATATGCATTTTAATATTTAAGTGGTATTGATGGGTGATTTTTTTGAAATAATTTCAGGTAAACTTTTCTGACAATTTATACATAATATAAATAAAATAAAGTTTATTATTTTTAATAAATAATAGTACGATTTTTAGATATACTTTTGCCTAAAAATAATATGTATTATTATAATATAATTTGTATCTATTAATATGTCTATATATGTATTAAAAATATATTCTTTTTTCAAGTTTTAAGTAAATCTCAGTATATATACACACTTCTTCAATTTATCACTAAATCACATGCGTTTATATATATATATATATATATATATATAAATATATAGTATATAGTATATATATATATAGCTTCGATTTCATATTATGTTGGCTGACGGCCAATAAATTTAGACCTTTATTGCGCATGCGTTAAAATGGTGCATTTTGTTTTTATTAGATGTAAATTCATACATTCCAATACAATAATTAATTAATAAAATTAAAAATAATATATTAATTTGGGGTATAGTAGTATGGTTTTTAAATGTATAAAGTTTAATATTATTTTCGAACATCATATTTTAATGTTATTGCCTTTAATATTATAATCATCCTTACAAGTGTTCATAAAATATTAGTATTATAAACGACATTAACTTTAAGCATAAAAAATAATTAAAAATGCCATTTACAGCTGATTCCGCTGCACACCAAATACAAGTATGACATTAATTTTTCTTTAAACAACTCAACAATGAAAATGTAGATAATTAATGATTTTAATTCATAACTATTAAATGACATGTTTAACATTTGTTTAAACAATTAAATTTCTAGGAAAGATTAAAAATTATATATCAATTAGTTCATGAAGTGGAGAAAGCACGTAACCATTCTGAAATAAACTTAAATAATATAACAAAGACTCATGACAAAGTAAATCCAGATGAGAAATTATCACCATTTTATCAACAAAAATTAAAGGGTATTTATAGTTTAGCTGTTGATGATGCTCATCAAGAAGAAGATTTATTAAGAAAAACTTTAGAAAAAATAAATGAAATTAGATCAATTAGGAATGAAAGAAGAATACAAGTTTGTATTGCTTTATATTTATAATTATTTATTAATATTAGAAATATAAAATTAAATGAAGTTTTTACGTTAAAATTAAAAATGAGTATTTAATATAAATATCAATAAGAATATATCAAAAATTTATCCACATTTATAATAAATTTTATAAATAGAAGATGCGATTCAAGTTGTGCATTTCACTAATTAAAAAGTAAATGAATAAATTCATAATTAATAAATTAACAAATTAGTAATTCATAAATAAATTTATCTTGTATTATAATCTAATTTTTAAATTAAAATTGTTTAGGCTCGTAATGCAGGAAATAAGGAAACTATTAGACGTGGTGCTCTAATGAAGATGTTATTAAGTACCGCACAAACATTACCATTATATGTAGGCAAATTACCAGGGGCTAAAGCACCTGCTTTATGTGGAGCAATTCCAGCAGAACCAACTTATATAGCTAAGGTAAAAGATAAACATAAATTTTGTTTGCATTTTCAAAAACTAAAACTAATATTTTAAAGATGGGTGATATGGTAGCTGCTTTAGTGAAAGGTTCAGAAGAAGAAGAAAATTGGATTTTAGCAGAAGTAGTACACTTCAATCCTACAACAAATAAATATGAAGTAGATGATATAGATGAGGAACAAAAAGACAGACACATATTGTCTAGACGCAGAGTTGTTCCTTTACCACTAATGAGAGCAGATCCAGAAACAGATCCTCATGCATTATTTCCAAAAGGTTCGATAGGTAAATAATATTATTGTTATTTCAAAATGGAAAATAATATATTTTTATGAAATTAAAAAAAATCATTTATTAGTTATGGCTTTATATCCTCAAACTACATGCTTTTATAAAGCAGTTGTTAATCATTTACCAACTTCTGCGCAAGAAGAATACGAAGTACTTTTTGAAGATGCTACATATGCTGATGGATATTCACCACCTTTAAATGTACCACAACGTTATGTTATTTCTATTAAAGAAAGCAAAAAAAATAAAATTCAATCATAGAAAGATTCTTAAAAATAATTCTTAATTTATTATAAAAATTTAGACAATTTTATAAAAAGTAAAGATTAAAATAAAAATTAAATAATATGTAGTAATTGTTTATTCTAGTTACATTATTCTTATAAGAATATAAGGCAGTTATTCACAATTATTCACGAAATTCTTTACATATATTGTTTGAATTATATTTGTTTAAAATTACATTATTCTCTGCATTTATGTTTATAATTCTATTGATATATTAATCATGTAGTTAACCATGTACTTTATTGGATTATAAATATATTCTTGGTAGTATACTTAATTGAAGTTAGTATTTTAAATATTCTGTTGTTTTTTTAGAATTTAATAAATTCATTTTTAAATTGTCTATATTTTTGTTAATTAAGATTTTTAATGTATAATATATGAATAGTCCCCTTTCGAAATCATTAAACAAATTCATAAAAGACCACTTATAAGAATTAAAAATAAAAATCATATAAATATCTTTTAACAATAAAACTTTCGATTCTACAAATTTAATAGTAATTCTATAATAATATGAAGATTCTATATTTAAAATGCAATTTTTAATTAATTTTTAAAAATTAAAAATATATATAATTTTAATAAGTCTGTTTTTATAACTTACATATTGATAAACTATGTGAAATTCTAATATCTGAAAAAATTATAAAAAAGTTATTCAAATTTTGTATAACAGATGTTAAATATAAATTAAAAAGAGTTATAAGTCAATAAAATTAATTTAAACTTTTATTAATTTTTTTCATTAAATACATTTTATCTTATCTTACCTTTGTAACAATTTTGACCAATAAACATATTTATCATACATTTAATTTCATTATAAGATGGTATATTTTATAACTATTAATGAAATAATACAGTAATTATTTATATACTTTTAAAAAATAACACGTCTAAATTTATTTCATAATAAAAAATTACCAGTATTTAAAATAAATGTAACAATTAATATTCAATCACAAATTAATTTTTTTAAATTATACAGCAATAAAGTTATTTATCGATATCAATTTAATTGTTATATAATCACATTTTTCACAAATTCCAAAAATGTTATTGTATTTTTATGAGTTGAAAATAGTTACAAATAAAATTAGGGAATATTGTTATTTGTATTCGTTATGTTTAATAGTTTAAATTCAAAATTTCGGGTCCTTTACTGGTAAGCCTTTAACTAAAATATTAGCTGAATAACTTGTATAATCCTATTATATTGAATAGAAATAAACTTTATTAAATTTCAATAAATATATTGCTCTATTACAACTGAGACTTGAAAATTAAATATTTTAATTGTCTACTTAATCACGTTATATTTAAAAAAACTTCAAATCCATATTTTTAAGAATAAATTAATATTAATAAAAAATGTTTTTATCAAGGAAGTTTTAAAAATATATCTCAATATACTCTATTAATAAATTAATTGAATTTAGATCAATTATATAACTAAGGTACAGCCTTTGGTATGGAATTTAAATGGATTGTTAATATTTTCTTAACAATCTCTAATTCAAATTGAAAAACTTTAAGATTTTCTTTAAAAACTATTCATTTATTATTGAACCTATGTTTATTTATTAAAGAAATTTCATCGGATAATAGTTATTTAAATATATTAATTATCAAATGCTACTTTATATTTAGTTTTGATAAATTAAAAATGGAATTGAGGAAGGAATACTAAATACTTTAAATTTTAATTAATAAGAGTATGTACACACTTTTAATAATATAGTACAATTTATTTTATTTATAAAGAATTATAATTTTATTTTTTCAAGCCTGCACATCATATTGAAGTAAGATACTCTAAAATATAAAAAGAACAAAATTACTTCAATTATATTTGTAATTATTTAATGTTTAAAATCATAGATAAATGAATAATCACAATTAATATAATTTTTAGTTTATATTTAAGTAGTATTAGTTTGATAATTGTATTTTGTGTAATATACAAATATTACTAAATAATTTTCATTTGAATGATTCAATTTTATCATGGATGATGTTTTTTATCATATTTTAAGACACTCGTAATTGTTCTCTTTTATATTTAATATATGCATTAACTATCTTCTAATGATTTTAATTAATTTCCAATTTAGTTATCTATGTAAATATTAATTTTATTAATTTTCAATAAAATTTTATTATAGTCTTGACTTGATAAACTTTGAAAATTTTATATATGGTGCAGAAACTATATATTTTTACTATTATTTAATAAAACCATATATAAATAACTACAATCATTATTTAAATTTATTGTTTACAATTTTTCTCAAACATCGTGACTCTAAAATGTATTAATATACACAGGTTATTAAATATAATTTAGAGAGTTGAAATTAACAAATAAAAATTAAATTCATAAAATTCTATACAATTCTAAATAGAAAACTATTTTAATGTGTAATTTATTTAATAAAACCGAATAAATTTTATTATATATACATATATATATATATATATATGTTAAATGTTAAATATTATATATATGTATATGTTGATGATATATATATGTATATGTTATATGTTAAAAATTTCAAAATTTTTCATAAATAGATAATATAAATTTCAAATAAAGCTAAATTTCTCAATGTAAATATTAAAAAAATTTAATATATTTAAATTTAAATGTATTTATATAATACCTTTTGGAAATATTAAAGAAATTTAATTTTACTAATAATTAACAATGAAATCGAATGAAAAATTTTAAATAAATGTAAAAAATTAAAAACATACTCTTACAATAATTCCTATAGTAATAATAATTTGTAATATTAAGTTTCTGTTAATATTATTTTTTTTTTAATTTCCCTGCCAAACAATAATTAAATAAACAATAATTAAATAGGGTGAAGTAAAACATTTGCTTATATAGATCTTAGGATAATCTAATATACTTTAAGATTTATATTTCTACGTAGTACATACTTTAAAACAGCGTAGAATAACATGTTATAATAAACATTATCACATAATTATTTATAATTTTATTATTTTTTAATATAACGATTTAAAAATTTATTAAGATTTGTTTTGATAAATCTCAAAAAATTATATATCAAAATTGACGGTATTTATTTTGTTGTAATATAAATGAATTTGTTTGATATATCATTGCATACATATTCTTAAATAAACAACCACACGATTGCAACAATGAATTACTAACCATTGCCATTTTCTAATATCATTGAATAAAAGGTCTAAGGTTACTTAATATATTAAATAATTGATTTAGCATGTCAATCTTTGGTTTTATATAGTTTCATGACTATTAATAACCTGCGATAAGTTACGTGATGTTTTGCGGATAATTGGCTCAAGGTAGGATGCTGGGGCCCAACCTTCCATTCCAGCACCGATGACTTTTACGAACCACCATCCAGCGTAACCAATTTTCAGTAGTTCTAGATTGTCACCTTCACGCATTGTAACTTCAGATTGTCCCATCGCGCAGTAATCAGCCAAAGCTACATACCTACCACCCTGAAACGTTATATTATCATAATTCTAATCCTCGTGATCATCATCATCATCATCATCATTACCATCATCATTATTATTGTAATGATACAGATCTGTTAATTTGATTTTATTTCCGTTATTATTTTTAACTAAATAACTGATCATTGGATAAATTAACAAATAAATAAGTATTAAAAATATTGTTTTTTTAATAAAAAAATGTATAAAGTTTTTATTTTAAAGAATAAATATTTAATATAACTATTTAAAGGCGTTCATTCAATAACGTAAATTGAAGTTGAATAATTGAATGAATAAATTGAAAATAGTTTACTTTTATTTTACAGAATCATAGTTATATGTTAATTTTATATAACTGTTTCTCATAATAAAAATGTATGCAATTTTATAATTCCTGTGCTTTAGAAAATTTCCCTTGTATTAAAATTTACATTGTTTCATAGGGCTGAAATTGAAGATGGGATTTTACGATTTAAAAGCGACACAATTATATCTTTTAAACATATAATTTATCTTTTAAAGGTTACTCTGTAGGACGAATAAATGTATATTTATTAAACAGCAATATAATTTCAATAAATCATGGTAGTAATAAGGAATTATTTATCTTATTTATATGGAATTTATTCAAAACTATAATACTGTTGTAAATAATTATAACGGGTACTTATTCGGTATTTATTACGGTACTAATACGGTAACTTTGGTAGATAAAAATATATAACTATTAATTCACTGTGAGAAACGTTTCTAATATCAGATTCTCGAAATATAATGGTTATAAAAAGCGATTACATGGTGGTTACAATACATATAATTTTGACTCAAAGTATATTGAAAAATATAGTGTTCGTAAATAACAGAAAAGCTAAGAATTTAGATATTTAATAGATCGAATAAATTATGAATAAGGAATAGCCTGTAGATCAGTCTGAAACTATCTATTTCAAACTGATAGCGAAATTGCAATTATTTATAATTGTTATCACAAGTGGATTATATGTGGTCTGAGAAACACAACTGTTACGACGGTTGAGGTTTAAATTAGTAAATGTAATTAGACGGAAAAATGTTCACTTGCGTTATCCAATGTGGTCTGCTTTGTATTGCTGTTAATGCTATATGAAGAAGTCAGAGATTGCAAATAACTTTACTATATTTCAACTTAGCACCATTTTAATTTCAGTGGTATTCATATCAACTTGATTTTACAATTAGTTATAATATTAACGTGTTTTAATAAAATTATAAACAAAAACTAGAGTTTTTATTTTATAACAATAAATAAATAATTCACTCTAGTACAAATAATTGTTCATTGCATTATTATATTAGCTAGGTTCAGTAAGCATATGGTTACACTTAACGGTCTATTGAAGTCAATGCTTCTATTGTGCAATTTCCTAATATGCAGTATTCATAATCATCAAGATGATACTCCTTGATGAACTGACGTAAGAATAAAAGTTGTTTCACCATAAGTGGCTTACTTTGAATAAATTTGCTATTATTTGAAATATCGATAAAATCGATAATATTCTGACTTATCCCCAGGTTGTAATGCAGAATAATATAATTAGTTGCAGATAGACAGTTTGATAACATGCCTGAATACTTATCTTAAACGAAGGGTGAGACAGGTGAATTATTATCTTATACTTTCTGATGGAATACAATTTATCAGCGATTACCTCCGTAAAATAAATTAACGTAACAAAACCTAGTTGCACTTATTGCAATATTTCTTCAAATATCAGAAGATAATATGATTTATGCTTCTCAAGACCGAATAAAAGTAGTTTTTTATATAAATCTAAATCTATATTTATAGATTATTCTGCACCTAAAATAAATGAAATAAAAGCTGATGGTGGCTCTTTGCCTTTTTACAATATAATTTATAATATTTTTAATAAAATAAAAAACAGTTTTTATGAATAAGACTTACTTTTATTATCCGAAATTAATTTTTTATGATGGCTTCGGATAGATTCCAAATTCCAACGTGAGTAGGAAGTCTATTTACTGAGTACGAATCGCATACTATCGAACAGATATCTTCCTAATAATTTTTGAGAGTTTTTATCATCCCTCTTATAAATAAAATTATTTGTGTCTACTAAGTAAATAATTTATTACATAATTTATTAACATTGTTGAAAAAGTTTCATGCTTGCCTATATTTTATACTTGTAATATTCTATAGCTTCAGCATCCTATATAAAATGCAGTAAAATGTATGGGAATATAAAATTATAGAAATACTATAGTGACAGAATACTATATTAAGTTTCATTTTTTTAATATATTAATTTTTTTAATTTTTAAAGTAATTATTTGTTTTAAATTAATATAATGATTGTTAAAATATTACTTATATCGTATATTTATTATTTATTGATAGTTCTACTAATTTACCATAAATAAAATTCACATAAACTGTTAAAATTTAATAATATGAATTTATTATTATTTTATTTATTAACTTACAGATGTTGAACCGGGAATTTCATTAAAAGTATCTTCATCATCTGTATTGCTATTTTCAGAGCTCCATCCGATGTCTTCATTTTCCGTTGAATGAGAAACATCAGTAAAATGCGAAACTGCGCTATTATCTATTGACAATGTTCGTAATGATCCTGAAAGGCTACTTTGAGCATCCCATGAGAATGTTTGTCGGAGTAATCTCAAAAATTATTATACATCATTAGAATTCATTTCTTACATATATTATACTATATTTAAATTTTGTAAGAGTTTGATGCATACTTATGACCAGATTTGCCAAGTAAAGCTGTGTTTTGTTTTCCTTTTAATTCAGCAAGTTGTGACATTAAAACAGCCTTAATTTGTTGAACCCATACTTGCTTAACATCTATGCTTGATGCTTGAATAGTGTGAACTTCGGCACGACCTTGCAGCCAAATTTCAAATCTTCGAACATCTCCTTTGACTGATTCTGTTAAACCAATTTGAGAAGTCTATAAAGAGATAATATATATTAATTATAAAACTAGGTTATTCGACAATTTTACTCGCTTAAACCTAATAATTTTAACGCACTTTTAAATATCTTTTAAAATGGTAAGTAGCTTTGGTATGAGTTTGCGGTTTATTATGCTTGCAAAATATCACAGCCTTTTCGTATAAAAATATATGACGTTGCGATGGTTTTAAGCGCAGCAAGCGTTCTCGTTTACTGCTGCTCCAAACACTAAAGGAATCTTGTAGAAGAAGTTCTCCTTGAACATTTAAATCGCCCTAGTCATAGATAATATGCTGTTTATTTAAGTAATAATAAATTATTTTACGTTTGTTTTGATAACATTAATACAATAATAGTATTGTTTTGCAAATGAATAATTCTAAATTACAAAATATGTATTGAATTTAATTTATTAATTTGTTATTCTTAATTGTAAATCTATTTAAGTTAATAACAAAATGAATAACAAAAATGTTAACTATTTATTAGTTATGAAATGTACGCAAGAAATGTAGGTATTTTAATTTATAGTGTATTAAAAATTTATATTAATTTTATAAATAAATTAATCATACATTTTTTAAAACAGTTTGATAAATAATATTCTAATAACTTTATTGAAACTTACTCCAAAACCTGTGATAGCTGTCTGATACATACTATCATTAACGCATTTTAGTACAATGAGCATACAGTCTAATGCTTCCTGTAACTCAACACAGCATGATTGTTCATCGCTATATTTTAATAAATCTTTAAGCAATAATTGATATTTGGTAATCCTCTGTACTGGCTTAAGTAAATATGCAGCTAGCGGTAATTTATGTCCGAGTTTATGTTGACAAATTACAAAAAATTGTGGTTCGTTTTGTATTTGTTCTCGTAATCTTTCCGATCGTGGAGTATTTTGGCAATAATAACTATATAATCGAAAAAAAATTTCTTTCTGAAATGTAATTAATTAAAGTATACAAGTTTGTTTTTATTATATCAGCTTAATTCAAATCAATATGTAATATCAAGTGATGTCCATTTTTAATTAAACATACCCGTTGAACAAAGCATAAAGCTACAAGCTCTGTATTAGAAATACAATTCTCCAAGTCTCTTAAAAATGTTTCACTATGAAAAAGGTAAATGTCTTCCAGATTACCAAATAAAATATCAGCCTTGTCAAATAGTGCTTCAGGTACAAGGTGAGCTACTGCTTCATTATTTATTTCCATTTTATATCCTGTGATAATGGAGCCGAGTTCTGATACATAAATTCGTTCAGTTTCTACTAGTTCTGCGAGTACATGGCCACGTTTCAATTTTACAGTTTCTATATTTCGCGGTTCACTATCTGGTGATGAAATTTCTCCTTCAATTGAATTCATTTCCATCTAAAAATATTATTTATTATTTTTTAGAAATATTGTGTATATAATATTATACAATCTAATCGATGAATGGAAAAATATTTTATTTTGAGAATTAAAAGAGGTTCAAAGAAGAATAAACAATATTGAATATATTTTTATGCAAACAAAAAATTCATAAGTAATATATTAGAAAAACTAAAGATATTAATTTATTTCTGTAAATTTACCTTAGGGATTGTATTAGCTTTTTTAAGAATTCGTTTAGGTCTAATATACTGTGGTGCTGGCTGAAGAGGTTTTGTTATTTCTGGGGTAACAGCTTGAATAGGCTTTGTAGATTTTAGTAATTGCTGTTTAAGAACCATGATTCTTTTATCACACATTAATGATACATCTTCTATCCTTTGTAATACCTAAACAACTTTTATTTATTTTCGGCATCAGAAATTAAATACAATTTATTTTAATATTAAATTCACAAATAAAGAACATAATTGAGCAATAAGAATTTTTATTCAATAATTCTATAGATTAATCAGAAGTAAAAAATGCATAGCTTTTAAAATCGATTTACCTGAGTAACAATAGCTTTTGTTTCGGGTGTAATAGAGTCTACAAATACATTTTCTGAATGATGGAATTCTTTCGCATCTGAAACCAACGACTGAAGTTCTTGAAGAGCTTGATCCGCTGGAATTAAATTGTTTTGTGTAGCTAGTAATTCTATTCCACGTGCACACCAAGTATTTGCCTAGAAAAATAGATCATTTTGTAATAAATATGTTATTATAAAATATATTGTTTGTAGTAATAGTTTAAACTATTTTAATAGGAAGTAATTAAAATTTTTATTGTACAGTGAAATAAGAATATTTATTATCTTATACCTATCAGAATTTGTATTAATTAACAAATTTGTATTAATTCGTTAAATACTTATCAATGATTATGAAAGATTTCAAATTATGAATTAGAAATATTATATATAGAAATTATATAATAAAAAATATAATTTGTTTGCATCAATCCATACGTCGCATACATTAAAGTTTTTCGAGAACATTAGCGGGAGAGATGAAATTGGAAAAGTTGTCCCCAATTTCTTAACTGCTTCTAATGTCATAAACAAATGATATAAATTCACTCATTTTCAATTTGCTTCACGAGTAGTTCTCTTTAAATGTATAGTATATTTAATTTATAGAGTGTTACCTCTTAAATATTATGGTTGTTGGAAATTATTTTATCGAATGGTCTATAATTCGTATTTATAATTAAATAATACCTACATATAATAAATTCGCTTCTTGTGGAAATGTTTAGTAGATATTGAATAAAATTACATTTTATTATAAGCATAAATTTATTTCCCTAAAAGCTCATTGTTATGGAAGGCATATTCGATAACTATGCTTAACTAAAATTAATTTGATTATAAATAGAATTAGTATTTAAGAATTCCCAAATTTAACATATTCAATTATTTCTTTATATTTGTTGATAACCTCCATGCTAATGACATGAATTTGCGAAATGATACGGTAAAAGCTTGTATTAAGAAAATAAATATTGGAAAATATTTATTTGGAAATATTTTTTTAAGAACACAACTACGAAGATCTATTACATCTCGTAAAAGTGCTAACGAACATTGCGAATATATATATTCGTATTTGTTTGCAATATTTATTTCTAAATTACAGTAGTGATATGATCAGCGATATAATACTACGATGGCACAGCATTATGGTATTATTGTATTATAATATCATTGTATTATAACATCTACACAATATAATGGTTATAAATAGAATATTTAGCCTTATAATAATTTGAAATATAAATTTTAAATACGAATAAAATGATACGTCCATTAATAAAATTAAAATAATTTATATTAACTGTCTTCTTTCTTAAAAATATTCTTAAATAAAATCAAAGATCTGTAAAAATAATACTTACTATTATTTGTGTAGCTATATATTTTTAATTATTCATTTATCAACAATTATGTAATTCTAATAAAAATTTTCTATGAATTTACGAAGAGTTAAAGGGCTAGTAAAAATAATAGATTCGATAAACTATATACTTTACAATTTTTTCCTAATCTTTATTTTTATTTGTTATCACGTGTTAATTCATTTTCTGTAAATTATTCTTATTTATTTTTAACAAAAAAAAAAATATATACCAATCTATATACATTTTCAATATACATAAAGATATTCGATTGAAAGTATTTTAATCATAAATGAAAACATAAATAAGAAGTTTATTAATTTTTTGTAACACATTATTAATTATAAAATATTATTGTAACTTTATTATATATTCAAAAATTGTTTAAATATTTTATTCAGAGAATGTGTAAAAAATAATTTAATTCTTATTTTATTAAATTAGTAATTAATTTATATCTTATTAAATTATATCAGTTAAAAGAAGTAATTTCAAAAAATATAGTATCAATTATGATTGGAAATAAAGTGCAAAAATAAAAATAAAAATCATAAATTTTAAATTTAAAAGGAACAAGAAAATGTTACCATGTCAATATATTCCATGAGTTGTTGATACTTAGCGAGAGTGTGCAGTCTTCTTTCCAGCTTCTGATTGATCATTGAACAGATTCTCTGTAACTCCACACATTTTGGTTTTACTATTTCTACGGGGCATTGATGCCTATCGGATAATAATTGTTCACCAGAGATGACTACTTCTTCTGCTCTATCTATATCACTCTAAAAGATTAACATTATAATAAAAAAATTATCCATAACTACATATGAAATATATAATTGCGTATTAATTTATAATTATGTATAAACATGCATACATGTATAACATGTAAATTAAGACATTATTTAATAATTTAATGTTCTTAAGATATGAAAAAGTTGACACTCAAAATAGTATTAAAAAAATAAACAAATATATTTATATATATATATATATATATATATATAGTTGTTCATAAATCAATATAATTTTTTAAAACAATCTTGCGAAATATTTTTAATAATCTTGTTCATAATAATGTAAAGAATTTGACATAGAAATTTTATATACACAATAATTTTATCAATTAATAAAAAAAATATTGTGATGATTATGTTAATTTAATGTATATATGAAATGTTTAATAGAATTTAATTAATAATAATTAAATACTGTACATATTGTATATATAAATCCAAGGGGAGTAATAAAAAATACAAATAGAATATTAATACAAGTACTGACTTTTTGATTTTGAAATAAAAAATACTAATTTCTAAAAGATATTCTAGTCCAAGTTCGTATATGATAGAATAAGATTTTCTAAGAAATGAAATTATTTATATTATCTATTATAAAATAGAAATTGTTAATACTATTGTTGCAAAGTAAATTTTTTATAAAAAAAGATGTAGCATGACCAAAAAGTAGTAAAAGTAATATGCACATATAACGTTTATACATATGTGCATTGTAATATATACCCTAATTAAAAATTAAAATTCGATTCACTTAAACCAAATTTATTTTATAATAGAATAATTTAAATGTTAACCTTACTGATATATTTTTAAAATTAGTATTACACAGATTTCAATAAGTCTAAATCTACTGAAAATTTTCAAAATTTATTTATCAGCATTTTTATTGAATTTGATTAAAAAAATTATTAATGTCTATTGCATGATGCGGCTTCGTTTTTCATACATACTCTGCAAATCATTTGAAATGCTGATGTTTCTCGAAGTAACTGATTAATTTTAGCTTGGGTTTCGCCAACCTCTGTCATTTCTTCAATTGTTTTCAAATGTTGATTCAAGCTTGCTTGTAAATCTCTAAAGTTTTGTTCAAACTGTCGAAGAGCCAAACAGTGTTTTAAGCGAGAATTGTGATGTGACCAAAAGACATCAAATGTTCGTTCTGTTTCCTCCAATTGAACGAGTAATCTATAAAATTTCAATTTATTATAAGGATTATACGAGTGATTATAAATATTTATATGGGTGAATATTCAGTATTAAAGTTATTTTCATTTTTGAAAAAGATTAATATTAATAGCATTAAAACGTAATAATAATTTTATTATAAGTATTAAAGGGTATTTGTTATTAAATGTTATACAAATACATTAAATGTTCAAATAAATGTTTTTTTAATCATTAAATATGTAAACGAGTATTTGAAGTTTGAGTATTAATATTTAATCATATGATTAAAATATATTTTATAATAATGGTTTAAAAATTAAAAATAGTCAATAATAATAACAAATTATTTAAATATATAAAATCAATTTGATTATTTATTTTATTCTAATTTATTTATTCTAATTTTATTATTGAGTTAGCATGTCTTGTACGATATTCTGTGTATCATATTAATAAACTAAATATTATTTATTAAAGAACACTGTTTTTAGAATAGTAAAATAAAACATTTAATTAATAGAATATTTAAATGCCTAATACTTAATCAGAATATTTAAAATATCACCTAAAAATTCTATTGTTATTTAAACGTATTGTTTAACTAAAGTACAATCAGCAATACTAACCAAATAATAATAATAATAATAACAATAATAATAATAATAATAATAATATTTATTATTATTATTAAAATATTACTATTAAGTTGAACTTACAATAGATTAAATATATATTTTTATAAGCTATTAAGTGGGTTCGATTTGTAAAACTGTTGTGTAAAAGAATGTAAAAATTGAACATTATTTTAAATGAAAGTAAACATTTCAAATTGAATGAAAAACGATATATTTATTTTTATCTATATTATTTGACACGCTCTTTTATTTTTCACATAAACTTGAATATCATTATTCTTACTTCCATTATGTCTCAAATTAATTTTTGTGATAGTATTGTTAGAATTAATTGTATAGTATATTATTATAGATTTAATTGTATTTTTCTCTACAATTCAAATTCTCTGCAAATTAAATTATATTTCTTCGCAAATAAATAAATAAATAAAATTATATTCTGGCATTTAAAACCGAAATTCGACTGTCAACAAAATTGGACAGTAGCCAGTTTTTATATCAAATATATTTTAATTAATATAGAATACTTTTTTAATAAAAGAATTATTAACTTGACTGCTAAGTACTATAGAAGCAAATGACAAATAGTATTTATTAATGTATTGAAAATATTATTATTATAATGATTAAAATATCATAATTTGAAATTTTAATGTATGTATTAAAATTAGATATTAAAATAATCCAAGATTCAATAATAATTTTTACGTAAAAAAAAAATATATTGATAAATATATAATTCTATTGCATTAATCAAACTGCAAATTGATCATACATGATTTTAAATTAATAAAATTTAAGAGTATTAAATGTTTATTTAGACTTTGATTGAAAAAGAGTTAGAGAGTAATTATTACTGATTTTTTATATTCGTAGTATGAGTTTCCAGTATCTTATAGTAGTACTATGATAATAGTATAGACTGTTTAAATTATTACACTATTGTAGGAATTCTTTCGATATACGTTTTATATTTAATAGTTATAAATAGAAATAATATTTGAAAAGAAATATATATTTTTTATGTAACTGCAATAATAATAGAGCCTCCCACTTTTGACTACTGAATTTGATTCCTTCCAGTTTCGATCCAATTTGGATTTAGGAAGTCAGAAAACGCCCATTCAATTAATTTTGATATTTTTTTGTAATTTTATTTCGTATACTATGTAATAATAGACTGCAGATGTTATAAAAAGTTACCTTTCTTCTGCAGGAATTAAAATTAACCATAACTTATTGATGAGACGCGATTGTTGTATCATACTAATTTGTTATCGCTTGTTTTAAGTGAGCCGTATTTGGATTTGTCTATTAACGAATTTATTACCGCAAAATATTTATTCAGCTATCGCTGTGCTTTAGTTAAATTCAATTAAAAACTTGCTAATTGTAATTACCTTTGTAATTATATTATTGTTTTAATATTTGCCGAAATAAAAAAAATTTAGTACTCGAATAATTCCTATATATACTTTTTCCTTTTATTTTCCTTATTTTAATATAAGAATATTTGTTCAGTTTTCTAAATAAATATTTAACTAAAAATCATTGATAGTTATTAAGCGTAATGAACTATGTTCATAAAAATATCGATAATTATATACAGTCGTACATATATTTTTAATATTTACTTAATTCTCTTTATTCCTCTAATTTATAATCCAAATTACGTATAAATAAGTAATTGATAATACTCGTTCTATAGAAAATAATTATTTTAATAATAAAATAAAAATGTCTTATTTAAAAACTTATTAATACAACTCAAATTTGGTAAATTATGTTCTACTATATAAATCTCATTAATTTATTAATTATTTATTTATTAATCTTATAAAACATTTTGTTCCAAGACATTTTTGTAATTTTTATGGTATATTATTATTATTAATTAAGTTTTTAAGTTCCACATATTAGCTTTACTATATTAAAATAATGAAATTATATATAAAATAATAATTAAATTAAATATTAATAAAATATTCTTAATTAATAAAATCAAATATTTTGAGATCCATTTTTATTTTTATACACTAGTCACATTTAATTATTTTAATAATTAATGAGTATAATGTTTAATGAAATAATATTATCAAACCAGTTGTTGAATTAATCTGTCTACTTAATCAAACGTATCATTTCATATAAGTATTTTTCATATATGTATTAGAAATTAAAAAAAGGAAATAATAAAATCAGTTAATGATGGTACTATTTAAAAAACGTATTAAATTTTTCATCAGTAAATTAATCTGTGAAATTAATTATATGAATAGAAAAAGTAGTTTATATTCGTAGAAATATTTAACTAAATATTAAAAAAAGAATAAAGTTGATGCTTATACTTTATGGATTGAAAAAATATAAATTTAATGCATGCCTTTCAACAGTAGCAACATTTCCGAGGCGATCGGCGGTGCTTTTACCCATGATTTGCTTTAAGTTGTCGAGTAGAGTTTCTCCGTGTCGAGCCGCGCTTAAGATTTCTTCCTTAAGTTCATCATACTCAGTTTGTTGTTGGATCAATAATGTTTTGGTGGCGATTGTATTATTTGGGAACTCCATCTCCGCTAGTTTACGCGTAAATGAATCCAATGCCAATGAAACGTCTTGTGTCATTGAGGAAAATTTCTCGAGACTCTATTAAGATCAAATTGATTCTTTGTTAATGAATTAATCTTTAGTACTAATATTTACACTAATTTTAATTAGTATTTACAGAACATTACTTAGTATAATTTATCCACTATATAATAATTTTAAGAAAATACAATATAAAAATAACAATTATATGATGTAGTTTAAAATTGCTTTAGGATTAATTCTTTTTACATATAATCATATTTGATTTCAAGAACTATGAATTTTCTCTATTTAGGATTAAAAAATTTTACCGCTAATTTCTTAAAAAATAAATTAATTCAATAAGAGAGACGCGATTAAATTTTTAGTAGATTAATAATGTTTAATGAAGGTTTTAGTACAAAATAAATAGGCTTTGGTAAAAATTAATAATATATGAAACTGATTAATATAGTCTATATAGTAACATAAAAATTACGAAATTAATTAAATTATGAATACAGGTATATAAAGATAAGTTTATATAAATTGCAAATATGAAAAGTATAGTGAAATATATTACTATTCTATTTTGTATCCAAGTATGATGGCAGTAAGGCAGATCCCCTCCTAGTTGTTCAGTTAATTGGTCTTTGTCAATAAAATTATGTAGCTCAATCACATTCGTAAGAACTATTACTCGAAACTTAAAATCTTCTCGAAATAGTTTATTTGATACTTCAGAGATAGCTTTTTGCAAGAAACCCACTGGACGTAAAACATATGCTACATGTACCAGGCCAGGAAAGAAAGCCTTTAAAATAAAATTTAGAAAATTCAATAAGTATTTATTTTATAACTACATTAATTGTAGTATCTCTTTAATTCTAACTATTACATTTAGTGATATTATGTTGTTTACATTTATTTAGAAAATTAATAAACTAGTATAAAAAATTCTTACAGAAATTTTCAAAAGAACAGTTTTAACAGAATTCCATTTATCATTTCTTCGATCGATAACTAAATGAAACCCCAGATCAGCTTCATGCAACCTTTAAAAAATATGTAATTTAAATTGATGCTCTAATATATATTAATCATTATATATTATGCATACGTTGGGACAGAGGTGAGATACAACATAAGACGCTGATAGTCTAAGTCGCATAAGTTTTGAAAATTTCCATTATCTGGAAGAGTTATAATAGGACACCCTTCTCGCGTTTTACCACCTAAACAATTAATAAAAAATTTTTTTATTACATCAAGTAATATGATGTATTATATATATTTTTAAGTGTAATTTGCATGTATAATATCGAATCTTAAATTTATATAGACGTTTGTTTTGTATTTGCAAAGCTTTTAATTTCTATGCAAATTATGAACATGAATTTAAGTTTCAATATTAAATTATAACTATGTTATGTCCTTATTTTTATAAAGTCCATTACACATACGTACACGTTTACCTCTGCATTGTTATTTCTCTCTCTCTCTCTCTCTCTCTCTCTCTCTCTCCCTCCCTCCCTCTTTCCCGCCCACTCTGCACCACTTACACTAGACACGGCTTTCATCATTTTTCAAATTATTTCAATTTTAGTTATTTACTACCGATAAATAATGTATTACTATTTTTATGAATTTATAGAACTATTCTTTATATATACAAGTTTCTGTATATATAATTTAATTGCAATATCGTTGATTCAATTCTTAAGATCACGAAACGTGGGTTTTCCATACTTCATTTTCTTATTATTATTTTTAGAATATTTTTGTGATCATTAATTAAAATTTAATGGTACAGATCCAATTTTCAAAGTAATGTATAATTTTCTAGTCAGCGTAAGAATTATAATGGTTAATTATTATAATTCGACAAATAGTGTAATAAAATTCATTTTTCAATAATTATGAAAGAATGTATAATTTATTCATATTTTATTAATTAATTTAATATTATAAATTGTTTTCAAGATTAAATGTAGATTGAATACATTCATGCTGTTATATAATAAAATCACAATGAAATTTTAAAAATATTGAATTTGAGGAATTGTAAATAATAAAATACCATAAATGATTCGTTTCATTAATAAGTAAGAATAAATACAATAGATTTTATTAGATTCAAAATGTACTATGAGTAAATATAGACAACCAGTTGCTGTCTTTATATTATTTCCTGTCAAACAAATATACCAATCTCAATAATATAAATACCTTATTTGTTCTATTAGTTCAGATCTAGTAATTTTACTATTTTTATAATTCCACCAATTTTATTTATTCTAAATTATAATAATTGATCAATTAATTTTTTGCACCACTTAATAAAATATTTTCAGTACTGAATGTATATAAATATATTTATATAATACAACTATTAATGACCTTTAGTTAATAAAATATTGATTAGTTCAGTCGTAATATTAATTCTTCTTACATATTCATACAGAGTTTTTCTTTTTTATTATAATATCAAAATAAAATTCTAGTAAATGTTTTAATTATTATTCTTATGATTTTATTATTATATCTGGTTTAATATAACTACTTTAATAGTTATTTAAGAAATAAGTAATGCAAATAATTATATATGTATCTCATACTTATATACTGTTAACATTAGCAAAGCAATAAATCATACATTAAATAATACATAAATTTATAGACTCACCAGTTACAATAGCAAATTGAGATTGAAGAAGTTCTGCAACATCTCCAACAGCTAAATCGCCATTCTCTATTTCGTCTGTCATGCTCTCAACATCCTCTGATTCGTAAACCGTAAATTAATAACAATAAATTTTATGTGATGAAATTTTATATAAAATAATTTAAATCATATCTCGATCAATAAGAATTAAAAAGCTTAGTGTATTTTCAAATATATATATTTAATAAACAGTTTCTCAGGAAGTTTTTTATTCTATGAAAATTTTTATTTTTCTATTTTTGATTTTTAAATGTAAAGTTATGATTATAATATGAAGTAGTGAAATTTGCAGTCTTACAAAAAATTTTATCAAAAATACATACACGTATAAATATGTATTTTTCCATATTCTTATTTCATGTGAAACAAAATAAAAATATATTTTTATATATTGACAGAATTTTAAATTTTAACTACTTATACGAAATTTTTATTTTGAAAACAACAAGTCTTATTTTAATGAAAATTATAATTTATATTAAAAATCTAATAATATATTATAATTCCAATAATTTTTAATTATTACATTCTTAAAATTTGAAAATTTGGTAAAATTTGAAACATATTAGATTTCTGTAAATTTTATTAAAAATTTTTTAAAAGTTCCGCATAGCTATATTAATTTTTTCTTCTTAATTAATTTTTCAAATAAATACTCCTTTACATTTATCAATAACTAAATCATTTTCATGTCTTTATGTAAAAAAGGACTACTTAATTATTTCCATTTTTGAATTTAAAAAATTTTGATATTATAAAATATGACTGTTTAAACTATTGTATAATCTATAATATGCGCGAAAATGTAGTTGATTAAGTTAGTTGTGAAATATTTTTACAGTTGTGCTATAAGTCTGCTGGGCCTTTATTATCTTTAGCAAACATTAAAGGGATATCTCCTTCAGGTATATCATGCCAATATAAATTATGAATCGCTGGTGACCACACCACAAACTTTTGAAAAAGACTTATGTTCATATAAAACAACAACAGAATATATATATATATATATATATATGAGATTTAACAAAATATGTAATAAAAGAACTAAAACATGAATATTGATATTGATGCAGAGATAACCGCTAATGATCTGAAACTACTTGAAGATCTACATAAAAGAAGCGAGACACATGTTCTAATAAGCAATCAAATTTGAGTGTGAAATGAGGAGAACATTTTTTAGATAACCATAAATTACAATAATTCGCCAATTGATATGTATTTAATTCAAGTGTATGCGAGGAAAAGAAAACAGTTTTAAATCATTTTTATACAAATGTTTCAGTATATAATCATATAATAATTTTTGTCAATCAATAAGAAATAATTTATAATAACTTGGTATTATATTATAAAATTCTGCAAATAATAAGATAGTAACTGTAAGCATGATATACTGACTAATGATAAATTGTTAATCTAAAAAACATTTACAAAAAATCTAATGTTATATATATGAATAATATGAAAGCAATAAATCTCTTCTTAAAGTCCAATACTGAATTATATATATATATATATATATATATATATATAAACTCTTAACTAAAGATTATAATATTCGTTTAGATAGATATAAATTACAAATGCAATTATAAAAAAGTTTTCTTTTTTCGGTTAAAAGACATCAAATCAATTTAAAACTTAAGTTGTTTCAGATACTAATATTAATCATTTAATTATTCTATTAAATATTACTATAAAAATTTATTTAATAATAAATTATAAAAAAGCCAATCTATATAAAATGTTTTGTAGTTTTGTCGATTTATTCAAATACTTATTATTAAAAAGTATTTACAAAATGATATTTAGAATTCTTCCAATTGTATTTTTTTATTCATTTTCTTTGGCAATAAATTAATATACTTATTTGTACTTAAACTTCTTTTTTATATTATATGATCAATTTTCGCTGTCTTTAGCTTTTAATAAACAGAATGTGTATTCATCAATAAAAAATAATTTAATAAAATACTAATTATTTTCTTGTAATATTGATGTAACGAATTAATTAAAAAATTATTTAAATTTACATAACTCATTTATATTAAAAAAATTAATGAATTATTCAAATTTAATTGAAGTTTAAATTCCAGAATATTTATTAATTAAATGGTCACACATAGATACATAATGTATTGTATTATATTATAAAAACGAAAGTTTTTATTTTATTGGTTAATTTATTTAAATATCACTAGCTAAAATTTTACTATGATTCTAGCTTTCTTGTTGTTAATTAATATACATTGTTTTTTATTATTGAATGTAGATTTTTAAATATTTTATAGATTATATAGGCGTACAATAAATTTCAACTTAATATATTACATTATAGATATTGTACTTTTAAAAATGTTAATGTTCAATAATTCAGAGTTTTAATATTTTATAATAAACTGTTAAATCATGCTCTATACAAAATAATGCCTAGTTTTTCTATTTTTCTGTATCTATAGATAAACACAAAAAAGTATTGGCAAATATTTTTAATTCTTTTTTTAATTCTTATAAGTTTATAAAATATTTTTGAAATGTAATTTAATAAATATCTAACAGAAGTGTTACGAAGTTCTTTTCTATCATTTCAATTAACTTTAAATATAATTCTATCATATTTAAATCCTTCCTTACCTATGTACATCATTATTTTTCGACGAAAAATTAAGTTTATTATAACGTCAAAATTAAATGTAGCGAATAAATAAAACCTAAAACATATAAACAGTTTCTAGTCATTTCGTTATGTCATTGTGGTTATTTTTGAGTTTCTTTATTATATTCTTGGAAAAAGATAATACTGTACTATAATATTATACTATAAGCGTTTATTCTATCACCTTAAAACTGTTTTTGTATATATCGTATAAATCAAGTATTTTTTGGAGATTTTTGAGTTATTTTATAATGGAGACAATTTTGGCTTTATATCATAGTTCGCTATTTTTTGACGATTATTATTTTTACTTATCCTGTACTGAGAAGAACTTAATTATAGTCATTTATAATGATACATTTGTCAATTTTTAAATTAATATGTCGTTATATCGTTTTTATATTCTGAATTAAGAATGGGCGAGTACTATTTAATAATGTTCTCACACAATCATCCCTTATACTTGTACAATCTATATATATTTTGGCTATCGTATATTTTCTTATACATTTCAATATGTCTACTGATATTTTCTTTATTAATAGCTTCCTTAGGTGCTAGTTTAATGTTACGCTATCTTTAATCATAATGATAATTTCAAATCTATTCTAGAGTTCATATTATAGCTATATTTTTCCTTTAAATAGTTGTATTTCATTCAATATTATTATTACATTATATTTATTCATTATAAATTTTTTTCGCATATTAATATTAAGTTCAATAGTTCTTGAACAAAATAATGTAGGTTTTCTTTTTAATTGTCCTCATTATAGGTATACAAAAATCTGACTTATAAAATTCTGATTTACTCCAGTGTTGAGATGCATGATACGGTATATATGTACTGTAAGATTGTTTTGATTCCAGCATCTCTACAAATATTTATTATTTTGAATCATTTAATGTGCTTTATTTAAAAAATAAATTCTATATAATTTCGTAACATTTGATCATTATATACTTTATTTTTATGCATCACTTTATAGTGTTCTGGTGATATATCATATTTATTTTTTATATAAAATTTATACATATTTCGTGTATTTTTTGATTTTCTCAAATAATCTAACTAATCCATTAAAAAATACATTAACTTTGTATTCATACCAAAATTATATGCATTATTCAATTATTAAATACACATTTTTTTTCATTAAAAAATTTATATATATAAAAAGATTTAGATATAATTTCATTTGTTTAAAAGGGACGTGTATTATATTTTCTAAAAATATTTTCCAGAACTTGAATGTGCATTTCATATTTCAATATGTGACAAAAGGAATTAATATATATTACCAATTTAGATTAATTCGAAAAATGTATAAGAATATTGAAATTTATTATGTGTGTTTTTAATACATAGCTTTTTTTATTCTTTAATATTTAACAAATATAAATTTACATTGACAGATTTGTAATTTATAGATTTTAAAATTCAGTATATTTTGTAGAAAATATTAAATTTCAGTTTATAATGGACAATCTTGTGGAAAGACTAAATTTAACAAATAATTTTTTGTACATTGTATAAAATACATTTAATAATAAATATGATACGATCGCGTAACATAAATAAAAATTAGAATATACTAATCATGTACTCGATTTTATAAGTATAAATTATTATAATTGTTCAAAATATTTGAGTATTGAAAAGATTTTTTTTTCATAAAATGAGAAAAAGTACTTTAAATTATTTAAATATGTGATTTGAAAGATTTTATAATTTTTATATTACTTAGTTTCAATGTTTATATAATTTATTATAGTATTATTTAAATTTGCAATTTCATTAAAATCATATTGCTGGATAGTAATATTTTTTTCATTTTTAAATTTTTATAATTGAAAAATATGAAATTAAGTTTATGAAATAAAAACTTGTAGGCAGGTAGACAGAAATTTTACATCTTTCCTAATGTACAACAATAAAATTTTACCCCAGTAGACTTAATGATTAGGCATCATCTACGTATATATCCAATCCAATACAAACTCTTATAATACGAAACTATATTTTATATTGTTATAATTCATGATTATATAAATTAGATAGTTGTAAAAAATTGAAGCACACACATATAGATGCACGGTTTTTAATATGAAATTAAAAATTTTCTAAGTGTCAGTTCCAAATAAAAATCATAATTATCTTACGTTTATATAATAAGTTAAAAATATACAAGTGATATAAATCGACAAATTATAATTAGATATATAAGGTGATCATTAGAATATTTTTCTTCGTATTTTTATGTCTCTTTTTCATATTAATATTACTTATTACTATTAAATATTATATTAATATTAGAAAAGGTTCATTTATTAAGTAATGAATTGCATCTTATAATATAATTATTAAATATTAAAAAATTTTTTACCTTTATAAAAGTGTTTATTAATTTGCTTAATATATTGGAAATCGTGGTCTAGGATAATAATTTTTAACAAAACCTTACATATTCAATAATAATTGAATTTTAAGGTCTTTAAATTTGTTATTTAAATTATTTAAATTTCTAAGGTTAAAAAATAGTACATGGTAATATAATGTTTAGGATAAATGAGAGAAAGCGTCGAAAAATAGCACTCATCGAAAATAGTGATAAAGAGAAGTACGTATACAAAATAATGAAATCCAGATCAATAAATTGTGTTACTGAAGGAATCCTCGATAAAACTGTTTGCGTTGCATACGATCGTTTACATCTCACAAAATTAATTGTAATTAATGAAAATTATTTTTAAAATTATTAAACATTAATACATATACAATATTGTTTATAAAATTTTCGATATAACGAAACGTTTGAAAGGATTTTACTATATTCGGTAGATTGCACAATACAGTGCAAATTCATGTTCTCATTTCATCATTTTTGCATTATATATATGTGTGTTTGTGTGTGTAATGTATTGTTTATTAATGCTTTTAAAATATTATTTTAATATATGAATTTATGTTTAGAATATAAAATAATGTATGATACATATTCTGGATTTTGTTATTCTGGACATTAAGATGTTATATTTATTTTATAGTATCATGGATGGCAAAATTAATTAAGGAACACTATACCTATTAATTATTAAACTCATTGTGCCACATCTCTATTATTATTGTATATGAAAGCTTACGATAGCCAACAATATCAATTTATATTGCGCAGTCGCCAAAAAGATGAAAAACATTAATCGATATTGTTGCATTACTTGTAATTTTTAAGTAATAGACTCCATTTAATTTTGAAAAATTGACATTTTCTTAAGAATAAGCAAGCAAAAAATTTTATATTGTAATATACTATTTTAAGAAATTTTCCTCCATGCAATCGTAAGTTAAACAAATATGTAAATATTAAGAATTTTATAATCCATTGTATAAGATATTAAAATATCGGTTTATAAATCATTTTAGTTATTTAATAGTATAATTAGTTATAAAAACGTATAAATTAAAATTATCATTGTAAAACTTACCAAAAAAATATGTTCATTGAGAGATAGTAGAAATTATAGTAATGATTATTATAAATTAAATATTGTTGATTTAAAACTCTATTAAAGTAGCTTAAATTTATAAAACAATCAATCACTTTTCCATAATTTTAGAAATGATAGTTCGTTACTAAAGATCCTATTGACAAATAAATCTGCTTATATTTAGAATGTCAGAAAATCGATAACTGCTTTAATTTTTCTATTCGTGAAATAATTGTATACATAACGTGATTAATAACACAAATACATTTTTATTTTATTGTATGTGAGTAAATTTTCAGTTTTCATTTCAAGTACATAAAATAAGAGAGAAATAAAGATCCAGAGAAAACTATTCATTACATTTATGATTATGATTTACAACATAATATCAAATATCAAAAGATTTTCCTGTTCAGTGATAAATACAAATAATTACTTAAAGAAAGCTAATTATGTATATTTCTTATTATCTATATATTTGTTAATAGTATTTTATTATAATGTACAAAACGCTTATAAGTATAAAAAAACTTACTATTAATATCATTAAATTTTTCTTAATAATTATACATCTAAAACACATAAATTAGATATAATTGTCTAAATAAAATAATTAAATAAATAGTCATACTTTAAAATTTTAGACATTAAACTTCGATTAATATAAAAGGAAAAAACTTTTAAATAAAGTATTTATTATTAAAGAAATATTAAAAAAAGTTTTTGATTATATTTTTCTATATATTAATAGTAATAATTGTATGTGACGATGGTAATATATATTTTAATGTTTTTATTTTGTATGTATTAGCTTATATTAATAAATAGATATAAATACATTTAAATATATAAAATTAAAACCTAATTTTATTTAAAAGAAAATAATCATTAAAATAATATCTTTTATTTATTTATAATAATTGTTCCATTTAGACGCATTAATATTTATAGAGCTTAAATTTTCAAAAATTAAATCTTCAATAATAACGATAAATAATGCATACAATAAATATTTAATAAATATTCGGAATTTTTAAATAAGAAATCAAATATAAATACAATAGTGAATGAATCTACATAAAATATTCTTATCGTTAAAGTTTATAAAATAGTATACAATGCTTTGCTTCAGTGTTATATTATAAAGATTTTTTACATTACTGTTCACATATGTTTACTTAAATATTTCTATTGTCAGTTATGTTTTTATTGTTACTAATGGAATTAAGAATATCCTCGATTATTTCAATATAAAACTTTTTTTGACAAGTAGTGTTTTCGAGATCACATAACACTGAAAAGTAATAGATAACGTATTACTATATAAACTAAGTTTAATCTTAGAGTAAGAATAAAATTTAAACCCTCTACTGTGTAATTAGGGAAAGTAAAAATGAACAAATAACAAGATAATCGAAAAATATTGCATTAGTATTAACACATAATATACAAAGCCATTATAGTTACAAAAGAAAATAATGAATGAAACCTAGATATTTTAATCCTAATCAATAAATATCAAGTTGACAATTGTTTAGTATAAAAAAAAAACTTAAAAATCAATCTGATACAATTGATAGTAGAAAGTATGTAGATTAACAACTGTATTTGTTTAAGATTACTCAAATGTCTTTAATAGCGATTCGAAGTACGCCATCTATCAGATAAAATTTAGACATTATCGAGATAACCGCTACATTTGAATTTCTACTTTTAAATATGTATTTACAAATATATATATATTTTTTTTTATATATGTATAACTTAAATTTTAATTTTAACAGAATTTTATTTATAGTGTTCTGACTTAATAAATTATGGAATTTATTTGAAAGTGAAGTTATTTTATCAACTCAAATTTTTTTATAAGATTTTATTCAATAATATGTATTAAAAAATCTTTAAATAACTTTTTATTACAATGTTATATTCTAAAATATTAATTGTTTTCCCTTCACGAATCTCAATTATCAAATTTTTATTTTTAATCAATTTTAAACATTGCTAGTTTCGCAAGATTTTCGAGATCAAAAAACTGTCTTTTATTTATATATATTTATATATATTTAATACATCATTATATATTGTAAGTTTAATGCATACATTCATTTTATTTTATCATTTACTTGTCATCCATAAACAATAATTTTCATATATATATACGTATATTCATATATGTTCATATTTTATATAAATATATATTAAAGTTATAAGCATGAAATGAATTGAATTAGGTTAAATAAAATATAAAAAATAATTATTTAAATTTTTATTAATAAAGAAAAGCATAAACTATTCTACGTTTAACATAAAAACGAATGTTTCATATGTACATTTTTTAGTGTTTACGTAGCATAAAAATCCTAATAAAACTTTAGTGAAATCCTCTAATATAAATCAGCGTAATAATATTGGTTCTTATTTAAAGAATCTCTATGTAGAATTAAATTGTATTCAATGAATACCAAATACAAAATAGAAATGTCTAGGTATTATTAAGGTCGTGTAAGACTCGAAGAATAATCTATTGATTAATAGAAAGAATAGAAAAATATTGATAAAAAAAATCGCCTTACCGGCTTCAAAAATTTCTAAGTCGAAGTTAGCACTACGGCTAGGGCTGATGTTGCTAACATTATAGAGACTACTTCTATGATGATGATGTTTCTGCATGGTTCCTGAGGTATTTCGATTGAACTGTTCCAGGAAGCTATCAATCTGGTTTTCGATATTCGTTGGCGAGTCAGCCATTTTTTAAAAGCAGTTTTCAAGACTATATTTATTCAGCACGCTATTAACCAATTATGCGGTAGTATTAAACATTTCCTGCAGTTTCAGTTGCGTGAAAATATAATTGAACACAACACAAAAGCGTTCTTATAATCTTGATTAGTGCATTATCGTTGACAGTTCACTTATTGATGTTTGACAAACACGACCTACACCTTTTAACTAATTTAATATATGTGCGCAAATATTTAATTAATCATTAAAACTTGTCTTACTCCATTATTCTTCCGTATATGAACCGTCTATTTTGTAGCACTACACTATTATTTTTTAGAATATAATTACTATGCAATGAATATTCGAATTGAAAAGAGAAACGAGTCCAATTATTGAATAAAAATATTTGTTGCTTCATGACAATTAAAATCAAGAAGTGAATTTTGAGTTTGAATTTCACGGACTATTGTTTAATAATTATAATTAAAAATTATATATATTTATTTTCTTGAGAGACTGACTACAATAAAATCAAGTCTTTGAAAGCACCTTTATAAGTAACTTCTTAACTATTACGATTCCAAATTTTAGTCTGAACAAATATTTTATCAAACAGTAAATTTTTTAGCGTTTGTTGTATCAAATCGATAATTTTTAATTATATTATCATAATTAACTAATTTTATTATTAAAAATCTATAAAATAATTTAATTTTTATCACTTTTTATGTAAATAAAATTTCTGTCAGTTATTAAATTACAAAATTTCTGTTTCAATTTTAATTACTCGTTTTCTTATCGTAAAATATATCTTTCTCTATCAATTATATTTGCATATAAAATAACACTGGCATTAAATTTTATAATATACATTATCTTATAGCTTAGTACCCTCAAGTTTATTATTAATTAAAATATATCATGCATGTATTTTATAAAAAATTTTTTTGATAAATTGTGCAACACTCCATACTAGTCTAACATGCAAATTTACATGTTTTTGAAGTTTCAAAAATTGACCAAAGAACCGACCCACCTAAAATTATTCTTCACGTTGTCAGCAATGATCGTACTGAAGTCATTTCTGTGGTGCAATGTCGACATTTATAATGGGCTCTTCTAGCAATGGGGCCTCGAAAAAATTTCAGACACGGAAACTAAAAATATTTATACACTAAAAATTGTCTGAACTCAATTAAAAACAAGCCTTCATCTTTGAATTAAAATGAAAGTTTGGTGTAAATAAAAGATACTTGCCACAACTCTGCTTACATCGACCGACTTACTGAAACTAAAGAGCATGAAGAACAACGGCGCCGGCGCCGCGACGCGTCATTTCTTGGCCCCCGTTGCAGCAATTTGGTTCGAGTAGCGGCTCATTGTTTCTTTACACACATGTGTCTGATTATATGAAATTTTGTTTTGTTATAGAAAAATGTTTAAGAAAAAATTTTACCTCTAATACGATAAAAGTTTCTTGTTTATAAAAATGTGATTATTTTTTTTAATCTTTATATTTCCGATGAAAATTTACTTTCAATTAAGTCAAATATATTTTCTGTCATATATTTATTCACACTTCATTTGCAAATTGTATAAATATTTTACAGTAAGGTATATATATATATATATATATATATATATATATGTGTGTGTATATTTAATCACAATATCATTCTTAAATATACAACAGTACGAAAATTTTCTTATTTCCATAAGCCAAAATATTTTTAATTAGGATAAGTAAGTCTTATTTTAAAGTCCTTCACACTACCTCATATAAATAAATAAATAATATAGATTATAGGTTATAAATATATAAATAATTTATGAATAATAAAAGAATATACATATTAAAAATATAGGATATAGGAATGCTAATTAAGTGGTATCTATAAAAAAATCTTCATTACACAAATACTATTTAAATTTAAGTATTTATTAGTTCAAATATTTTAATTTTTTTAATTAATTCTCAATTTTATTATTTTAATTTTTTTTAATTATTACTATTTATAAAAAATATATATTAAAATAAATATATTTAGTGAATTTATTAACATTATATATGTGTCAAATTTAATTATAATCAATTATTAACTTATTGAAAAAGGTAATAAATATTGCATTATTTATTTATATTTTTCATAATATTCAGTGCGTTTTTTGACTACTTTTATTTTATCGACAATTCAAGCATTCATAAAACATAAAGATCTTACAAATCTATGAAAGGAGTTAACAAAATTTTCTTTATTATTAATTAAAAAAACATTTATTAATGTCTTATAATAGATTTTTCACGAAAATTTAACATATTGATTAAAATAAAAAATTTTTAATTACAGTATTTTTTAGATTAGCATTTATTCGTTACTAGAAATATTTTTTTATTTAAAGTTTATAAAAAATTATAAAAATAGATTTATAGATTTTACAAGTTTTTAAAAGTTATAAAAAAGTGTAACCATGAATATTTTATTATCAATATTAATATAAATAATTACCTTACTTAACAATTAAATGAGAAATCCTTGCATTACAAATATTTAATAAAGTTAATTTGTTTAAACAAATATTTTATATAAAACTAATACTTTAAATAAATCTATGCGTAAAATGTAATATTATAATTATAAATACATTATAAAATATAAATACAAAAATGTTTCATAAATTATGAAACTATTATTTATTATTTGAAATAATTAATATTTTTATTAATCCAAATATAGAAACATACTTTTTTATATTTAACTTTAGTATATATTATTATTTATATATTATATATTTATATAATATATATAATATATATATTATATATTTATAGTATATATTTATATAGTATATAGTATATATTATAAGTATATATTATATATTTATAGTAACTTTATATTTAACTCGACATTTCAATAGAAAGATCTTTGCATAAGTATATATATATATATTTTATAAACAAAGAATAAATTTCTGATAGATATAATTTTTTTATGCATTTATTAAATTAGTATTTTTCAAAGCATTTTTTATACTATTAATTAATTAATTATTTTCTTAACTATAAAAAGAAAGGAAAAAATAACATGATGTAGTATCATCTTAAAATCATATCTTAAAAAATATAAACTTGTTTGAAAGCGTCAATGCTATGTTTTAAGTGTAATATTAATATAATTACTATATTTTTATTGTTCATATTATTTAATCTTATCATTTTTCAATGCTAAAGATATTTTTTAACGTCAAAGAGAGTTGAATATTATTTTAACTACTATACTATCTATAATGATGATTTTGTTGAACTAAAAAAATTAGAAATTAAAACTTGTTTTGTTTCGTTATATATTTATATTTATAAATCAAACGAAACTCTAAAAATAGAAACCGGATAAAACTTTAATACAGCCACTTTACCAATATTATATGAAGAATTATTTATAAACAATCATAACTTATACAATTATTTTTCACTTTAACTGAATGAAACGCATTTACGTAGTTTCATGTATATATAATAATAATCACTAAATAATTTTAAAAGTATAATAAACCATTTAAAAGTTGATACAAGTCAAGCATAGTATTAAAGTAAATATATTAAAACTTTAATTTGATTAAAAGTTGACTAAAATTTTTTTTTAAATAACATATATTTTTTAAAATATTACCGCTTACAAAGAAAACTTGATCATTTATAACAATAGAAACTATGAATTATAAATATCTAATTTAAATTTAATATGAATATAAAATCCAACTTTTAGAAATACTAGTAAAATAATATATTGACATATACAATAAAACAATAAAAACATTTATATATATATATATATATATAAATATGTTATGTTAAATATATATATATGTTAAACTTTGAACTACATAATTGTTCGATAATATTGTTTTTTATTGTATAATATCCTATAATATATTTCAAATTACATATTATTTTAAACATTTATATAGGTTTGATCAGTATGAGTCGTTAAGTAAATATAATCTTTCACAAAAAGAACGAAATTTTATTATAAAAACAATATTTCAAATTTTGCATCTTTGAATATTAATAAGATCATTTAATATAAAATTTGAGTACATAAAATAATAAATGTATATTTACATCTATAGACAAGAATATACAACAAATTTTTGTTGAATGAAATAAAATACTTACGTATATTAGTCTTTTTTTGCAAACATTTTTACAGTATTATTTATTATAGTTTTTTAAATTTTCAAATCTTAAAGTTTAATTTTATCTATTATGTATAGGTGCGAGCGTGCGCGCGTGTGTAAATGGCATATATATATATATATATATATATATATATATACACATAATAAATATAATTCAGCACAGAATTTATAATTTATTACATTTTAAAAATTTTATAATACTTCATACAGTACACCTTCTCTGATGGAACGAAAGTATAGAATTGAAAAGAGAATTGAAATATAGCATTTAGTATAAATATACTTATTTTTAAGCTTAAATGATTTAATTTTAAATAAATTTCTTATGTAGATACGCTTATGCAGGATTTAATATTTCTTAAAAAAGTTACATTTTTTTTAATTATAATTTGTTATAAATTAATCGCTTACTAAAGCGGGGAATTCCCTAAAAGGGAGAATAATACGGTTATTATTATCGCAAATAAATTTATTTTTACATATTATTATATATTACATATTTTATATATTACATATTATTACATATTATTTTATTTTACCACAAAATAATAAAAATATAATGATTATTCATAATCTTACATTTATTATATTAAAATATTTACATAAATATTTAGAATAAAGCTAATTACCTTTTCTTAATAAGTTTATTAAAAACTGTATTATAATATTTGCTATATAATTTATTATATTATTTTATAGAAGAATCTTTTAATATTATTAAAAAATAAATTCTATAAAATTTTATTACAAAAGCTAAACTTATTCTAATTAAATAAATTTATAAAAATTGCAAAGCTATAAATTTATTAAAAACAGAATATTTTATTAATATATATATTATATACGTTTATTCGTGGCTATTTAAATAACATTTATACACAGTAGTTATTTCATTGATCAGTTAGTACAACACATAATATAAATTATAACCATAAATAGCCAATAAAACTTAATTTATATATTAAATAGGAAGTAAAACGAATGACAATCATTATTTAAATAGAGCCGCTAAACTCTACTACCGCCATCTATCAAATGCCATAAAACTTTCCCTGTTTAACAAATAACCCCCCTTACCCACCCCGAACCAAGAGCATGCCGATAACACTTCTCACAATAATCACTTATTCATTCCCTCTCTTTCTTTTCTGAATAGCAACGAACACGTACACATGCTTGATCTCTATTTCTGACTCTGCTTTAAGCTTAAGCATCACACGACGTTCTAAGTTCTGCCGGCCTCTGTATAGTCATGCCTACGGTCTGCTGTCCGCCGCAAATCATTCGCTTAGTGTCTACCGACAGTGAGTGAAGTATTTGAATAATACATACCGGTTTTTAGTGAATTTTTAAATTTGTTTTTAAAATTGTCCACTTCCCATTTGTTTACTTTTACTCTTAGCTCAGGTTTTCAAAAGTGATTTTATATCAATAAGTAATTGAGCGAGTTAGTTTCGAATCAAGTCAGTGGAATACACATTGCAGCCGGTTCTCTCCCTCCAAGTTAAACACAATTGCTGCAGAGCTTCACGCCAACGTTCAAAATCTCTTTAAGGATGGGCGGTAAGTTCGAAAGAGCATGTTTCACTTCTTGAGAGAGATTCGTACACATTTTTAGCTGAACTATACTTGACCCAACGACCTTCATAAGGTGTTTAGAAAATGCGGCACTATCCGATTGCGTGACTTACTTCCTATTATCAATTTTGTCTTGCGCACTTGATTATGAAAACTGATTTTGAGTCTTCCTGCAGGTTCCAAACCAATCCTTTCTTTTCCGATCGACCTTTTTTAATTTTAATAAACTCACAATTCATATCAAACAATTTTCAAAAAGAACTCATATTTTTTTATATTTCAAATAATTAACAGAATATTGACTCGGCGTTCAATTCATTAATTCGGAGCTGCAAAGTTTTATCTTGCATAAGTCAGACCAAACAAATGTCAGCGAACATTAATATTTCATTTTTCTAAAATGAAGCGAATTAATTTAATGAATTAGTTTTGTATAGAAAATTGTTCTAAAAAGTAACACATGTATTTTATAACAGATAAAGTAAAAGTTTATAACTGTATTTTTAGAAATGATAGAAAAACTTTATTCTTAAAACAATGTTCATTTACGTTCAACGGCATCAAATTATATTAAATTATTCAATTGAAAATTATATAATCGTATTATGCTAATATATCAAATTTATATATATATATAACTGATGATAAGGAAAAGTTTAAATCACTTTTAAATTGCTGCATATATAATACGTATGCATTACATGTTTAATGCATTAATATATAAATAATATAAACTTATTATATGTTAAAAAATAATAATATTTTATAACATAATGAAAGCTATTAATATAACGTATATTTTATAATTGTATTATTTCTAATAACCCGAGTAATTAACACATATCTTTGTTTATTGAAAGCGTATTTGAAGTAACTAATACACACTTTTTTATACGTCAAAATGAACTAAAATTTAAGAGAACATCATTTTTTAATATCATCTATATAAGAAAAAAAATCCACTTTGAGAAAAGAATATATAATAAGAAATTTTAAAACATTTACTCTCGAATTTATGCTTGATATTTATGCTTCCGTAAATGAAAGGGAATATAATTTCATCTAAAAATTCTTCGAAAATTAATAAACTCACAGAGATCAGATTATTTTTAATTGAATCTGTCTATTTTATTTTCATGGACTCAAGTTACCTTTAATTTTTTATTTATCAAATAAATAATCTATTCGTAAAAATTAGGTGGGCTTGTTTTATCATTTCATTACTACAATGAATTTTTGTTTACATTTTAATGTCTGTTTTAACGAACATTGATAGATTATATAAATATTTAGTATTAAGAATATTATGAATTGAAGTTAAATGAACACTTTTTAAAATAGACTAAATAAAAAAACGTTACATACCAACTAGCATGGTATTCTGTTTCTAATTTAGTTACATTTGTAGATATTTTCTATTTTTGAGTCTCCAGTATCTGTAATATTAGATTTTATCTTCGTAAATTGAGTTTGCTACATTTTTTGTTTATAATTCTTAATTTACTGCCTAAATAAACTGAAATATTAATTTATTTGTTAAAAAATTATTATCAAAACTTAGTTTTATTATATATTAGCTAACATTTAAATATTAGGTTCAAATTACAAAATAGCTTTCAAAGTTTTTATTCATAATTATTTAAATATATACAGAAGTTATTTATAACAATATAGTACCTCAATACAAACCATTGATAAATATTTTTATATTTTATTAAATAAAAAAACTATATTTTAAAATTTAATGCAAAATTTTATAATCAAATCATAAATTATGAAATAATTAAAACTTATATTTATTCTTCACGATAGAATAGTTATAATATAAAACTGCTACATTTAGAATACCAATGATTCTTATAGGTCTTTGATTTACAATCCAATTTAATTTAAGATAACTTTTAAAATAAATTTTCTTTCTTTAATAGATGTAATAATATTATATACTAGTATCGAAACAAATTCTTAAGATATATTTGATTGATTTACTACAATTATCAATAGGACTAAATTAAATATGATTAATATTATTTCAATTTTATATACGAAACTATAACATACAATTAATATCACTAAAATTTTATTTAAAAAATTGTATATATTGATGAGGTCAATATACTCTTAACTTAATAGTATGAATTTTTTTTACTTGATAAATTCTTGTAAATTTAAATTTGCGGTACTTTTAGTACAGGGATTTATATATTATTTAATATCATTTATTTAAAGACGGTTCGGATTTAATTATTTTACTTTATTAAACAAATAAATCTTAATAACGAATAATATTTTTAATGAATTAATGAAAAATGAATGTTCCATAATTAAAATGTTGTTATTAATAAAAAGAAAACATAAAATTATAATATGCTGTTATTTACTACAACACGGGTCATATTTTTTTATTTTTTATTTTGTAATAATTTTAAGAAATCGAAGAAAATTTTTTTAGTAAACTGTGATAAATATCATATGCATAAGTCACTCAACAAAAATGTCAATAAATATTAATTTGTAGCACTGTCGAAACTGAAAGTACAATATGCATTAAGAATTAATTATGCATTAAGTGATGATAATTCTATACTTTTAGATCCTAAAAATTTTTTATAAATCTTTTTTTATTAACATATGTGTTGATAAAGTATAAATTATATGCATTATTTTTATAACAAATATTTAATATAATAATAAAATGATTGTACATATTTCAATTTTTACTTTATTTTAAATTTTACATATATGTAGACAATTTAAAATGAAATGTTAGTAAAGTTCAGAGGAAAATTTTATTTAAAAATATAAATAAAATAGTATAAATATATTAAATTATAAAATAATAAATCTAGCTCTTTCTTATCTAGTTTATCAAAATCAAAAACATATTAAATTTAAAAGTTTTTAAATACTTTTATTTTATGTCATTTAAGATTATATTATTTCAATTCGTTATTAGCATTTTACGAAATAAATGTCTTCCGCCAAAAATTTTAATATTACAGAGTCGTATCATTGACTGAAATGAAAGCACATTATAAGTTATACCATAAAAGCAAATATATGTTATTATCAAACTTTCCAGTTAAAACGTATTAAGATAAAATTTTATAAAGTATATAAAAACAATATTAGTGAAGTCAGTTTTATTATTGCCGGTTTACACTATCTCTATACGGTAGACACCATTGTCAACTTAGAAATACATCCCTCAGAGTTAAAAAAGCGATGCATTAAGGAAACGATACTACTGTAGTGGACTCAGATTTCTACCTGGTGTCGTCTTGTCCTAACTGGATCTGTTCAACATTTTAAAATATACACCGGCGAAACGCTTCGAAGAACAGGTGCGTTGTAACGAATCATTTTTCGTATAAAAAAACAGGACAACAAACATATACAAAGATTTACCTTAACTCTTCCACTTTCGAATTTACCTTATTTATGAATCTTTGCTAATCTTTACTACAACCTAAATTAAAAATTTTAATCTAAAAAAATGTCTTACAAAGTAAAGTTTTCCAAATATAAATTAAATATTAATTGTATTTTTTAATAGCATTTAGTACTTTATTAAATTGATAATGTAATTTTTAAAAATTAACTTTCTAGATTAAAAATTTCATATATGTTTTCTCTAAAAATTTTTAACATATTAATATTTTAACATTTGTTATAAAAAAATATCATGAAAATTAATGACAAAAATAAAAAAAACCGCAGATTTTATTAATTTGAATTATTATTATATATATTCTTTAAAAATGCTTGTAACTGCAATCAACTTTTAATATCTTGGACATTAAACGATCAAGCTGAATGTGGAGCTGTATGTTCAGTTGGAATTCTAAAATATTACATTTGATTAAACATTACTAAATTAATAAAAACAATATTTAGATTCTATTTACAAATAAATATCTCTTTTTTTTTAATAATTTCTTTAATTATTTGAAGTGTCAATATAAAAATATGGCATTATAAAAATGATATTCTTGATTGGATTTTAATTATTTGACATATAATTAATAATCTTGTAATGAAAAATACTGTTTGTTTAAGATAACAAGAAATCCGATTACAATATTTAAATGAATGGAATTTTACTTTTATTGGACCTATTTCACTAATGATTATTTTGACTACTCTTTTGTTTTTAATATGTAATATGGTACGTTTTGTCAATGATTTAATCGGTATCAAGGTTTATTTTCATATCTTATATAGAATAATATATTCTATTTATCAATTTTCAAGTTTATCTTTTATGTAATATATTTGTATACACATACTCTTGTTATGTACACGAATTAAAAAATCTTATTTTTAAAGGATCCTGAAATTTAATTCTAGTATTAATATAAATCTAAATTTGTGCATTTCGAAATATCGTCATATTCTAATAATAACTATCAATTTCAATTTTCGTATTGGTTGTATACATTTTCAATTTAGTTAGCCAATTTTAAGCCAATAGCCAACATTCTTTACTTTATACAAAATCTATTATTTATAACAAAAAAAGAAAAATGTTCTTTAAAGATTTAAACAATAGAGATTAAAAGTTAATTTTAATTATGTTTTATCACTATTCTATATATTTGTATATATTGAATCGAATGTATATATTTGAATTGAAAAATTGTATACCGTCACTGTTTCATATATTTAATAAATCAGAAAAATGATACGTAATAAATCAAAAGTAATAAAACAATTGTTATTAAATAATTACATAGCATGTCCTTGGATGTTTAAACATTATTCTTAAATAATTACCAGATCCACCTATTTTCTCTGTACTTAAAGAAATTCAACTTTATATATAAATTTCTTTATCTTATTAATGTCGTTGTAATTGAAACGAATCTAAAATTATGGAAATATAGTCTAACGTTGTGAAGATCAATTTTTTTTATTTATCTATAGTACGCTGATAACTTATGATTAAATTTTTCCTAAGTTTTACTAATTCACTCTAGTGCAGA